TTTTTTTCTATTGTTTTATTCTTCTCAATTTTATTTATTTCTTCTCTGATCTTTATTATGTCCCTTCTTCTACTGACCTTAGGCATCATTTGTTTTTCTTTTTCCGATTTCGATAATTGTGACTTTAGACTATTCATTTGGGATTGTTCTTCCTTCTTTAAATATGCCTGGATTGCTACATACTTTCCTCTTAAAACTGCTTTCGCTGTGTCCAACAGTAGTTGGGGCTTTGTGTTGTTGTTGTCATTTGTTTCCGTATATTGCTGTATCTCCATTTTAATTTGGTCATTGATCCATTGATTATTTAGGAGCATGTTGTTAAGCCTCCATGTGTTTGTGAGCCTTTTTGCTTTCTTTGTAAGATTTATTTCTAGTTTTATACCTTTATGGTCTGAAAAGTTGGTTGGTAGGATTTCAATCTTTTGGAATTTACTGAGGCTCTTTTTGTGGCCTAGTGGTCTATTCTGAAGGATATTCCATGTGCACTTGAGAAGAATGTGTATCCTGTTGCTTTTGGATGTAGAGTTCTATAGATGTCTATTAGGTCCATCTGTTCTAGTGTGTTGTGCAGTGCCTGTGTGTCCTTACTTATTTTCTGTCTGGTGGATCTGTCCTATAGAGTGAGTAGTGTGTTGAAGTCTTCCAAAATGAGTGCACTGCATTCTATTTCCTCCTTTAATTCTGTTAGTATTTGTTTCACATACGTTGGTGCTCCTGTATTGGGTGCATATTATTTATAATGTTTATATCCTCTTGTTGGACTGAGCCCTTTATCATTATGTAATGTCCTTCTTTATCTCTTGTGACTTTGTTTTGAAGTCTATTTTGTCTGATACTAGTACTGCAACACCTGCTTTTTTCTCGCTGTTCTTTGCATGAAATATCTTTTTCCATCCCTTGATTTTTAATCTGTGCATGTCTTTGGGTTTGAGGTGAGTCTCTTTTAAGCAGCATATAGATGGGTCTTGCTTTTTTATCCATTCTATTACTCTGTGTCTTTTGATTGGTGCATTCAGTCCAGTTACATTTAGGGTGGTGATTATTGAAAGATATGTACTTATTGCCATTGCAGGCTTTAAGTTTGTCATTACCAAAAGTTCAAGGTTAGTTTCTTTACTATCTTACTGTCTAATTTAACTCGCTATTGAGCTATTATAAACACTGTCTGATGATTCTTTATTTCTCTCCCTTCTTATTCCTCTTCCTCCAATCTTTATATGTTGGGTGTTTTGTTCTGTGCTCTTTTTAGGAGTGTTCCCATCTAGAACAGTCCCTCTAAGATACCCTGTAGAGGTGTTTTGTGGGAGGGAAATTCCCTCAACTTTTGCTTGTCTGGGAATTGTTTAATCCCTCCTTCATATTTAAATGATAATCGTGCTGGATACAGTATTCTCAGTTCAAGGCCCTTCTGTTTCATTGCATTAAATATATCATGCCATTCTCTTCTGGCCTGTAAGGTTTCTGTTGAGAAGTCTGATGATAGCTTGATGGGTTTTCCTTTGTAGGTGACCTTTTTTTTCTCTCTGGCCTCCTTTAATACCCTGTCCTTTTCTTTGATCTTTGCCATTTTAATTATTATGTGTCTTGGTGTTGCCCTCCTTGGGTCCCTTGTCATGGGAGTTCTGTGTGTTTCTGTGGTCTGAGAGGCCATTTCCTTTCCAAGTTTGGGGAAGTTTTCAGCAATTATTTCTTCAAAGACACTTTCTATCCCTTTTTCTCTCTTCTTCTTCTGGTACTCCTATGATACAAATATTGTTCCTTTTGGATTGGTCACACAGTTCTCTTAATATTGTTTCATTCCTGGAGATCCTTTTATCTCTCTCTGCATCAGCTTCTTTGCATTCCTGTTCTCTGTTTTCTAGTCCATTAATTTTCTCTTGCATCTCATCCATTCTGCTTTGAGGTCCTTCCAGAGATTGTTTTATTTCTGTATTCTCCCTCCTTAGTTCTTGCATATCCATCTGCAAGTCCATCAGCATGGTTATGACTTTTGTTTTGAATTCTTTTTTCAGGAAGATTGGTTAAATCTACCTCCCCAGATTCCTTCTCAGGAGAGGATGGGGAAGGTGTCTGGGTTAGCCTGGTCTAGATCAAATTTTTTTGCCTTTTCATCTTGATAGATGTAGTGGTATGCTATTGACTCATCTGTCAGCTGGGAGAGCTAAGACCTTTTCCACTTGCTCCTGGTCTTTCTTTAATGGGACAATGGCAACCCCTAGCAGCTTGTGTAGGGCAATTGCACGTAGACTGGGTCTGTTTCTTGCCCAGCGCTATGGAGGAAGCTCCCTTGCTGTGCGTGGCCAGCCTGAGGCTGCTGCTCTGCTATGGTAGGACGCCGCAGTGGGAACAGATTGGGGAGGGGGGGGCCATTTATCGCTGTGAGGGGTCTTAGAACTGCTGCCCAGGGGGTTAGGGTGCCCGATGTTTCCCAGGATTCCCAGCTGCTGGGCTAAGTGTCCCGGGATGCTTCCGTCCAGCTGTGAGGTCCCTGTCCCTTTAAGACTTTCAAAAAGCACTTGCTTTTCTTTGTCCTAGGGGTGCCAACTGCAGGGACCCGCTCACAGGTCTTACTGTCCTGTTTCCCTAGTATCCAGCACCCCACAGCTGGGTGCGGATGGCTAGGGCTGGCTATTTAGCAGTCCTGGGCTCTCTCTCCCTCCCCGCTCTGACTCCTCTCCTCCCGCCGGGAGCTGGGGTGAGGGGCACTCAGGTCCTGCCAGGCCGGGGCTTGTATCTTACCCCCTTCGCCAGGCACTGGGTTCTCGCAGGTGTGGATGTGGTCTGGCTGTTGTCCTGTATCTTCTGGTCTCTCTTTTAGGGATAGTTGTATTTGTTGTATTTTCAAAAATGTATGTTTTTGGGAGGAGATTCCTACTGTCCTACTCACGCCGCCATCTTGGCTCCGCTCTCCTGTAACCATTCTTAACCCACAAGATTACATGTTACCTTTACCTCTTGGGAGCATCTTAAAATTCCCTAGAAAATCAGTCACAGAATTCCAGTTGCTTTCTGATACCAGAGAGGTACTCTAAGCTACACTTGTTTATTTGGTTGCTACTTCTCTTTTAAAGTTGTGAATAAGGTTCCTAATAATGAAGAAGCACAAAAGAAGCCAATAATTTTTCAGCAAAAAATGATAGTAAGAAACTAGCAGTATGGTTTTTCTTAATAGTTGACAGAGATTTCTGCCTATCTGCATTCCCTATCTGAACATTTTTAACCATTATCTGTTCTGCTTGAGTCCATCTTCAGTGTCAAACTCAATTTCCATAAAACACAGGCTCCAAACAGTGTTCTCATCTTCTCAAGAGGAAGTATCTGTGTGGCCTTGTTGTATCTATATACCTATAGTGTCTATGGTACAGAGGCGGCTTCAAGTAAGGAGTCATTTTTGCCAGCTGACTGAATTTTAGGACATATTTCTTTCCTGCCACCCTAAGACATTCATCTTCTACCTCATTGTCTGCAGACCCTGGCTCTACCTGCCTGTCATCTCTATAATTCTACTCCTCTTTGACTTTTACATTAGACAGTTTCTTCCAGACCTAACTTAGTTCTACTTTCCTTTAAATCTGCTTTCCCTAGATTATCTCTTTTCAATATCTTATTTTGGGGACCCAACAAATTAATTAGCTATCTATAAATGTTAATTTTCTGTGTTTTTTTCATTAAGAAAGAATTTAAATTTAGTCCATCCTGGGTTGTCAAGTGATACTGGATCAAAATCATGATTCTAATAAAAGGCAGAAGACAGGCACAAAAGCTAACTTAATGTGTATGAAAGACAAACATTACAAAATCCATGCATTACTGCTATTTCTATTGTCTCAGTTGGGAGTTAAAAAGGTTCTTGTTGTAAAGTTACCTAGATAGTTTGGTTTGTGAGTGGTGTGGTAACTCGTATTTCTCTCTCCCTATTAGTATATGTAGACATGATAAACATAACATATGTATATTAGCATTGCTCAGGGAGAGGGAATAGCTTCTGGTATGCTTACTAACATAAATACTGGCCAAAAAAGAGGAAAAAGTCCACTTTCTTACTATGAACACTAGTGGAAGTAGATTATTTTTTAGATAATCAAAATGTGAATACGTCAAGCTTAATATTCATTGCTTTTTTATTTTGTTTTATAAGTGATAAATTCATAAACAATAAGGCTGGGACTTAGGAGATATGAGAGATGGTGAACAGGGCCTTAACAAATCATGTGTCTTTTTTTCTGATACAATGGAAATTTGCCCTGATCCCAAAAGTAAAGGGAAGCTATAAGTAGTTTCTGCACCTGATGTGTGCACAGAATTCTGTTGACCTGTATAAGGAGAGCCTGTCATTTTCATGTATCAGTTAACTATTGTGTCTTGTCACAGTTTAAAAGTATATCAGGCCAAGTTCTTATCACTACTGAGCACCCCATGGGTGAGTCCTGTCACTACTTGTGTGAATACCTCTAATCAAGGCTGGTGCAGGTTGGTACAGAAATAGTCACTTTGAACCTTGATGGTAGAACAAAAAGGGAAAGTCCAGCAGGTCTTCTCATTCCTGTAAATATTGAAATAGTTTCTTCCTTGATTTAACCTAGGGAGTTGCACAATTGTTCAACTTGCATTTGAGCTTTTGCTAGAGTCCAGTAAATACATGTTACTGTGATGTTTGTTTTGTTAACAAAAATAGGATCATTGTGTCATTTGGGCATAAAGTTGAGTCAAGAAATTGTTGTGACTGTGAACCTGCAACTGTGACTTAAGGTCCTAAATGTAAGCATTAATTAGCTAATTGGTGAGACTTAAAGATGGAACAAGACCCAAAATAATCATTATGCCCATAATTATCTTTGAGTGTACACACACACACACACACACACACACCACACACACACACACACACACACACACACACACACACACACACACACACACCCTTCCTCCTCCTCCCTGGGTGCAGCTGGGTACCTGAGCATTTTACAGTTCCAGACAACAAATGTCAACTGTTTAAACCTGTCCTCGCAGATTCTGGGTCCCCAGAAAAAGGCCTTCGAGCTGACATTGTAATCTTAGTGTTCTCTTTCATCCTCAGCACACCTTGTGTTTGCTCTCAGGCCCTTCCTACTGCAGGCCACGCTCTGCAGTCCTCCCAGCCTCTTTTGACTAAAGACAGACTAGTGCCAGGTTTAGGTTTCTCTGTTTTGCCAAGTTATGCCAGCTTGACTCAGCTTTGTTTTCCACCTGCTCATCAAGGAGAGAGGTGTGCAGTGGAGCACCCTGGGATAGACATCTCTTCAGAGCCTTCCAAGCTGTCCTTTCAGGAAGGCAGTCCTGCAGCTTTCTCCCTGCTTCACTCCTGACTTCCACTGTGTGCATTTCCGCCTCTATTGCTGCTACCCCTACTGGAATTTTTTCACTTCTTTCTAAGTCCCTTTACTTTTTTCTTCTCTTGTTTCTTTTGTCTCTGTATCTGTGCACAGTGTGTATTTACTGTCACAAAGGCACATTTTCAGACCCCTACTCCTGTGGTGACGGACACCCTGAGGGTCCCCATGGCAGGACTGGCCTTTTCCCATCAAGTGAGTCCATACTGGGAAGAAGGGGATATAATCATATGGCATCTTTTTATTTAAAAATTGTATATAAAGTACAAGAGGTATATGGGTTATTTTGAGGCATGGTAATTGATTTTTAACAGGACATAGCCTTAGCACAGCAGCCAAAATAGGATTTTTCATTTGCCCATCCTCCTACCATTAATGTGAAAAATACATGGAGTTATTTATATCTTATTTTCAAGTAAACAATCCAAGAATGGTACTTTTTCTTTTTCAGTATAAAAAGGAACCCTCCCATACCCAGTGGTGATGGAGGGTGTGATTAGAGAAGGTGCATTGTGTTTCAAAGGGACCTCAAGGATGAAGGAGAAAATAGGATGACCTGGGAAAAACTGATGACTTTGGCTCCCAGTTCTGCCCAGGCTTGTGCTCTACAGATCTGCTGGGCTGGAAACCGAAGTAGTTAGCTGAGCCCCTGGGAGAAGAGGGAGCAAAGAACTCATTTGAGGCCTTTTGAAAGCAGAGCTGGGAATCTCAGTCCCACTGCAAACAAGTCTCTATTTTCTTATCCAAAAAATTAGAGTCTGGTCTGTCTGTGACTCTTACATCAGACCCCTGCCCATGAAGATTGGGCTGGGATCCTTTCCTTACCTCTCTGCTGATCTTTAGCATTAGTCTTTTCTAGAATTGTCCATTTTTCCCTCCTCTGTTCTTCTGTCCCTCTTTGTTTTTCTCTTGCTTAGCTCTCAAGCTCTCGTCTTTCCTATCAGCTTGCTGCCCTGGGAGTTGGATCAGCTGACCTGGCTAATCCAGTAGCGTTTGCTGCTGGCTTAAATGCTACACACCCTTACCAGGTATCTTTAAAGATGGGGAAGACCCTAGGGTTCCTGTGCTGCCTCCCCTGCTCTGAGGCAGTCTAGGGGCCTCTTGAGACATCTGTGGCATTCTAAGTGTCTGAAGCAAAACTCTTCTGTAACTCTGGAGGACTGAGAAGACTGCGAGGAAAGGGCCTCTTACACTTCAGAAAGGAAAGGAGAATTCCCAAGATTTTCTCCTGTCCCTTCCTCTCTGTAGTCATTACCCTGCATGTCCCCCATTAACTGAGTCCCAGAAAGGATAAAGAGTCAAGGTTCCCCGACCACTTGGTGGCAGCATTGGTGGCGAAAAAGCTCTCAAGTAGATACCAGCATGCTAAGCCGTGAGCTTCCCCTCCTGCCTGACACTGCCATGACTCTATATTTTTCCATTTACCCCAAAGCTAATGGTTCCTGGGAAGGAAGGTGGGGTGCCCCTTGCTCCCAACCAGCCTACCCACGGTGCCCAGGCTGACCAGGAGAGATTGGCAACCTACATCCCTTCTGACGGGGCCCATTGTGCTGCCACACCTTCCAGCAGGTGAGTTCCTGTCTTGGCTCTGCTGCTGCTCAGGTCACTTGTGCTTATTTGGTATTAGTAAGAGTAGCTTCTAGCATTGGCCGCGGCTTGGCATTTGTGCCCGAAATGCATAATTTGTAAAGTTCCTGGTAAGAATCTTACAGGCAGCTGGTATGTAAGGAAGCTGACCCCTGGTTTCTGACTAACAGCAAACAGCAGGAGCTTCGCTCCTATCACCCTCATCCCATGAGGGTTTTTTTTCAGATGTTTGTAGTCGGTCCTCAGTGTTTTCTGAGGGCCAGAACAGGGTATTTACCATAATACTGAAGTCAGGCCACAGTGTATCTGTAGTGGTAGTTAATGATTGATTTTCTTTTTCTGCTATGTTAGCACTTCGTGGAGATTCTTCAAAACAACTATTTTTCCTCATTAAAAAATTTAATAATCTTTGTCTGTTCTGATTATAGAAGTGATACATTCTGTAAATTTCAAATTATAAAGACATTGACTAGGTGAAAAAGAAAGTCTTCATAATCCCATCCTGCAAAAGTCACTACTGTTACTTCCTTTTAAAAAACGAGAGGTTCTCAGAAGAGTCATTAAGTAATTTACCTAAGAGAATTTAGTTCACACCATGGCCGGGCACAAGCCTCCCTGCTCAGCCTGCAAAGAAAGCTGTGGTCACTCTTTCCATTACACTTGGGTTCTCCCGTGGGAAGCTGAGCTGTCTTGACCTGACCTGCCCTCCCTTGACTGGAAGGCCCCAGAGATAATGATGTTGATTCCCCTGCCACATCCTAAATGAACTTTCAGGTAATAGAAATTCTTAGGAGTTTTTTTTTCATTCCCACAGTGGAGTGGTGGAAGGGGAATTGTTTGCAAAGGTCTTTTTTTGCCATCTGTCAGGAAAAATTATTTTCATTCTCAGCTTCCCATCCTTTTATCCCTCCCCCTGTTAGATAATCAGAGGAAAGTCTTGTTAGTCATTTTATACCATAGTTCTCTGAGTCTTGACTCCTGGGGCATGTCCAGGAGTAGCCAACAGAGGACACTGTGTAGGGGCTTCTTAAATGCAGGTCTTCAGAGCTTAGGTCTTTCTCTGTACTGAGTCTCCCTGCTGGTTGGAGTACAGAGCACTTGGCCCGCACAGTCCCCCTCCCCAACTTGAGCTTTGGCCAGAGGACCTTTCTAGTCGTTGCTGCTTGCAGGGCTGTGACTACTGGTCTGGCAGCCATAGTAAGCACAACTTGTTTCTGCTTCTGGGAGCCCCCCTATCATCCAGGGCTTGGCATCACTCTGGAGGGCTGGGCAGGTAGGGAGTGGGAGCAGCCAAATGGAATGTGTCATTGAGAGACCTTGCTGAACAGGAGGATGACTGCGGGTAGGAAGAGGGAGGAAACGTGATGGGAAGCAGAGAGGACCTCAAGCCAGGCAATTGACCATGGTAGGAAAAACTCTGGCTATCTAAAGAGTTGAATTGGGCTTCTAACATGGAATAATGGTAATGTCCCTTGTGAGGTTAGGCTTAACAGTGTTCTGTAAACTATATAGTCTTATGGTATTTGTATGTAACAACAACAACAACAAAAAAGATGGAGAAAAGCTAAAATCTTGAGTCTGGCTATGTAATAGATTAATGTGAAAATTGCAGTTTCTGAGAGCTGCTTGCTTATGTGTATGATCACTATATGTATGGTAACTGATACTTATCATTGGTATTCCAGATTGAATTATATGTAAGCTTTACACAGTTGTAACACTAAGTTTTGTTTACATATACATAATTTTTAGTTGTTCCAGGAAATGCAGTCCTCTGCTGTCAACTCAAAGGGTGGGTAATAGTGGCAGAGCCACACCAAATATCGCCAATTCCCACATTGGGGGGCCAGGGCAACTCCTGCCCTAGGCTGCAGCCCTGCAGGACAGTGGATATGGGGAATCAAGAAGACTCTGCTGTGGTTTCAGAATGAGTATCAACATTACCTTTCTTCTCCAGTGAGGATACTGAAACTGTATCAAACAGCAGTGAGGGACGGGTTTCCCCCCACGATGTCTTGGAGACCATCTTTGTCCGAAAAGTGGGAGCTTTTGTCAACAAATCCATCAGCCAGGTGATTTCCTGCTGTTGCCAGCTGTGAAAATGTCTGAGCCCATAGAGGGAGGCCTTCCAGTTAGAGCTGTTCACCTGGGATCTGTAGAACCACAGAAACTGCATGCAAAGTGTGTGTGTGTGAATTTTTTGTGAAGAAGGTTAGTAACCTTTGACACCCCTCCAGAAAAAGTGAACTATTGTTCTGTGATTATTTAAGCTTCCCATAGGAGAGGAAGATTAGTTGGTCACCATGTAGTACAGACACATTTCACTGAAGTATCATTCCCTCAACCTAACTTGAAATAGGAAGTTCGTCCTCAGATTGCCATTGAAGGACAGTTGTTACTGAATTACTATGGGTGCAGCTGCCAAAGTTGAACTCCAAGGGTCCTGAGGAGCCCTAACTTGTTTATGCTGTGGGCATGTGATGGGAGGGCAGGACATGGCAGGGGCGTCTCCAACAAGACAGGAATCTGAGGGTTGGTGTGGTCAGCCTGGGTGTGTAAACTTGCTGGACCTCTAGGCTCTGGGGAAGCATGTAAGCTGAGCGAGGTATGGCACTAATACACTCCTGTGTCTCTTCAGGTGACTCTGACCAGTTTGGACATACCCTTTGCCATGTTTGCTCCCAAGAATTTAGAGCTGGAGGATGCCGATCCCATGGTGAGTCCACCATTGACTAAAGTTTCTGGGGAAGGAGGTGCCATAATCGTCATCCTTCTGGGAGAGACACTTCTCCTTATGGACCATTAGCACACCACGTGGCTTTGGTTTTGCAGCCAGTGTTGGGTCCCTTAGAGAGTCCTTGAAGGTTAACAGTAACTTGCGCCCAGTGCACCGAAGCAGCCCCCACCTCTGCGTTATTCTGAAACAGGTGAATCCTCCAGATTCCCCAGAGATTGAATCTCCTCTCCAGGGCAGCCTGTGCTCTGATGGTTCCAGTGGGGGCGGCAGTGGCAATGCCCATGACGATTTTGTCATGATCGACTTCGTAAGTTGCTATCACTTCGCTACCCCAGGGGAAATAAACCTAGAAGCAGCCCTTGCACTTGACCGGGACTTCCTGCACAGGGTGTAGATGAGGGGATGGGACAGGTGGGCATTTTATGTGGGGAACCTGCCCTTATACCCTGCTTGGGGAGACATTTGGAGGCTGGTGAACAATAAGGCATTTTGTGCCATGTCTTTGGTTGAACTCATCATGAAGTTCCACTTTATTTGGGGGTTTTCCAGGGGTAGCCACATAGGTGCCAGTCATGCCTGATTGGATAGCCCTTCGTTAAGGTAAGTAGTTTGAAGGAAAGAAACATCGACCTAGCCAGGAGAGAGGAATGTTCTCACCAGGATTAGAGTTGAACTGCCCAGAAAAGAAAGGTATAAAGATCCCTTTCCCTAAGATAAGCCTGGAGGAACCTTTCCTTTGATAATTACTGGAAGGAAAGAGGGTTGTTCATAGGTCATCTCCCCTGATACTCATCTGTAGTTCAAGGTAAGCTAAACTGAGTCTCTCTTGTTTTTGAAGAAACCAGCTTTTTCTAAAGATGACATTCTTCCAATGGACTTGGGGACCTTCTACCGTGAATTTCAGAACCCCCCTCAGCTGAGCAGCCTGTCCATAGATATCGGGGCACAGTCCATGGCTGAGGACTTGGTATGGAAACTCCATCCCCTACAACACCTCATCCTCCAGCCTCCTGTCCCCCATTGATGGTCATTCTTGGCCCACAGGCCTAAAAAATATCTTCCTGTTACTCTCCCCTCACTCCCACACCTCCCATCTTCCCTGTAACAAGAAAGAAACACTTTTAGACCAGTATCTTTTGATCACCCTTGAGATTCGCATTGTGTCTGGCAGTCATTATCTTGAATCTGCTCGCATTCACTTCCTTTTTTTCTCTGCACCATCTTAGCCTTATGCACCCCTGTTCAGTGCCGGATGTCTTCTTGCCAATACCATTAAGTCAGGCTGCTTCAACAGCTCTAGCAGTCAGCTCTTTAGCTTACCTGGAAGATGCCAACAGGGCAGAAGAGACATAAGGTCCTGAGTTTCAGTGTTCTTGCCCTTCCCGCAGAGCTTCCTCCTTCAGCTAGAGGTTCTCACGTTTAGCCAGATGTCTCGATACTGAGTATAATTTTCATGTCTCCACTAAGGGTACTTCTTATTTCCTGCCTCCAAAGGATAGAGGAGCACCATGCATTGCCACAAACCTAATATGTTAGCGTCCCTCTGCATCAGGCCCCCATGGCACAAAATGTCAGGGTCCCTCTGCCTGAAATAGAATATCACCTCATATATCGAAATTGGAGGAATGGCTCGGGGAATGGGAGTAACTACCTTTGATTTGCTTTGAACAGAAAAGCATGCCCAGTAATAATAACAATACAATAATAATGTCATTATTGTTAACATTGAAGCTCTCTAGGGGCCAAGCATTTTTCTATGTACTTTACATGCAACAACCCTAAGAGGTAGGTTTTCTCATCTCAGTTTATAAATGAGAAAACCAGGACTGTGAACAATAACTTGCCTCTGGTCACACCGAGATGGAAAAACAAAGCTTTGATCCCAGGGAGTCTGGATTCTGATTGTAGGTTCTTAACCACTGACTCCCCAGCCTCTCATTTAAAATGTTCTTAGGAAGAACTGGAGTCAGAAGGCTCTTAAAGTGATCCTGCAGCCAGCACTAGCTGGTTGCCCCAGCCTCCCAAACCTGCCCTGCCTGTCAGGTGTGTCTGGGCCACTTCATAGGCTCTGTGGCAGGAGAGGGCCTTGTGCCTCTCAGGAGGTCTACAGTGGTGGCTGAACTGCTCAGGCGCAAATTCATCACTGCAGGCAGCCACTTGATATTAGGGTCTAATTTTTACTAATGGTTGATACTTGAGGGCAGTAGAGTGTAAACTCCTCATGGGTCTGTTTCCTTCTCTTTTTTATTGTTCTCTCTCAACCCCCTCTAACCAAGCCAGTCCTCTCTAGTATAGAGGCAGCTTCCTAGGCCTCACCATAGCCCTGCTGGGTCAGAATCTCTTGGGAATGTGGGTGGGACTACCTTGTTCAATGTGCCCCCGGGATTCTGATGCCAGGGCAGGGGGAGAAGATAGCTTTTGTAAACTCTTCTTAATTTGTAGTGCTCTAAACCTACCGCTTTATTCTGTATCAGTCTAATCTATGCCAAAGATATTTCACAGTGAATTCCTGTGTTATCCTATTGTGAGTGGTCTTTTCCTTTCTCATTGAATGTGGCCTACTTGGATTCCCTATGCTGTTTGGTCAACCCCGCTAGCTCCCTCAAAGCCCTGCTGGTCATAAGCCTGCTGCCCAATGCCTGCTCAGCTGCCCTCAATTCTCCTGCTTTCCCAGCCCAGCACTGCTGGGCCAGGCTCTTTGCCATGTTCCCTCCTTCAGCCCAGGGTGACTGCACTAGCTGCCTCTTCAGGACCCTACCTGAATAAGCAGCTTTTCTCTCCCCTCCTGGTACAGGACTCACTACCAGAGAAGCTGGCTGTGCATGAGAAGAATGTCCGAGAATTTGATGCCTTTGTAGAAACCCTGCAGTAAAAGTTGATGTCCTTGAGTACCAGCAGCATCCCCTTCTTGTGATCCCAGGAGACAGAGCCTCCCACTCATCAGCTGCTTCCATCCCTCATCCTCCTCCATGCCAGGTGGAAGAGAGGCTGATTTCCCCCATGGGATCCAGAAGTCCCTGCTCTTTCACCATCTGCAGATTCCATGGCAGCACTCAAGCCCAGTAATAGCATTTGAGAGGACTCACCCTCTGGCATTGGAAATGGGAAGACCCTTTGTAACAAGAGGGCCTTCAGCAGGGCCATCTGCTCACACCATCTGCCAGCAACTGCCTCACAAAGGCTGTCACCCCATTCCTTTTGGCTCCTCCTGCAGCTGGCCCTTGCCTGCCTGCTGTTACCACTAACTACTTGACATTCCTGTTGGTGGCACAGAGACCGTGTGGAGACAGTGCTGGCAGGAAAAAGGAGGGCCTCCTGCAGGCTTTCTTTTGTTGTTCCCTTTAGTTTGGCATCTTCTTCCTCCCTCCCTCCCTCTCTTTGCACCTATGCCTGTACTTTTGGCAGTATGGCAGTCCTTCTGCCCAAAGCAATGAGAACTCCAAGGTCCACCGTTCCCCTAGCCCCACCCCTTATAAGAGCGCCTGCACAGCCCTGGTGGCTGCCTTTGCTCAGCATCTCCTCTATGTGCAAACAGAATCCTGTGTCTCTAGGAGTCTATCACTGAGTCACAGCAAAGATTCTCTTCTCTCTCCTTCCTCCCTCTGTTGCTGCTCCTTGGTAATATAGAACACAGTAAATATTTATTACTTTCAGAGAAATCAGATATTTTATAGAGAAAATATGTTTGAGGTTAGCTGTTTTCACTTGGGGAAGGTGGAGAAGCTCTTTCTGAGGCAGGCCTCCACCTGTAGAGTTCCTTAGCTTCTGGGTTGCTGCTCTGAAGATCTTACTTCTCATATATATCAGGTGGGATCCAAGAATAAGGCTGGCTTAGGGCAACAGAACCTTCTAGAATCACACTGCATTTGAACTGACAATAGGCATTACCTTGGACACCAACATATTCCTGGTGAGAGCCTTGAGTCTCTCACAGCTTCTGTAGAATTGACTGACTCCTTTTTGGCAGCCCAGGAAGTCTTGGATGCTAAATGTGATGATTCCTCAGAGTTGTGCTACATATAGTACCCAGAGGGGCATTGTATATGCCCCACTGAGGCCCTGGGGAAGACCAGACAGGCCTTTCCTTCTGGAATACTTGTTCCTGTTTCTTGGGGCTGGATTATGGGCTTTTTCCTCCTGCCTGTACCTGGCCACCACCTTCTTTTAATCCTAGGGTCTGTACCCTGCCGTAAGGTTTATGGTTGGATTGATTCCTTGTTGAGAAACCAAAGCTGGGCATACAATTGACTTAATTCTTCAGGTATTGTTGAGTAAGTCAAGTGCCTAGCCTCACCCACCTACCATCTGTCCCTCTCCCTAACAGGTAGTCCTGGCCAAGGAAATGTAGGCCTGCCCTACTCTTCCTGGGGCCCCTGGGGTATTCATTGGTAGCAGCTTCTCTGCCAGGGAGCAGGTGGCCCTCAGTCTTTTGTTAGTAAATGCATGTGTTACGTTGTTCTCATCAAAAGGCTGCACTCTGAGGGCTGGAATGAGTTCTTATGCTGTCTCAGGTAGGCTGAGCCCTGCCCCTGTCCATGCACTCTGCTGCCACAAATGTTCCCAGCAGTGATGTCCAACTGGCTTTATCTTTGGGCCAGAGCACAGTGATGGCCTGCTAATCCAATCCAGGTTTATTCCCAAGGCCCTAGTGCTGAAAAGGCCGAAAGCCCTATTAAGTTATTGATTGTTCTATCCCTCTCTTCCCTACCCCAGTATCTCAGCCACTGCCCTCCTTCAAGGCCAAGTGTGGAAAGGCCTGTTAGCCATTGTTCTGTTTGCCTCCTAATTGTTGGCCTCTGTAGGCAGCAGCCTTTCTTCAGGACCCCATCAGTGAGAGACCAGGGAGGCTGAGCCCTGACTTTGAGCTGAGCCTGGTTGGAGCAGATAAACTGTCAAGGCCGGCCCTTGCCCCTCGGCCCTGTACAATAAAAGGTATGAGCCCCAGACTGACTTCTACAGCACCCCCAGGACAGAGCTGGGACCAGTCATCTGTCTCCAGGTAGCAGGGTCTCTCCCCTTCTGCCTACCTACCTTGTTTGAAAATACTGAGCTATACTTTAATGTATTCATGAGATTTCCAATAAAATTTTTTCTGTACTGTACAGCCTCCTGTCCTGCAAGTTGTCTAAAATCCTAGCCCCATTCCCTCCCACTTCAGTGCAGGCCCTGGTCACTGACAAGCTCTGTGGAAGGGAAAACCTGTGCCATGTGACATGCAGGAAGACTTCAGAGTCAGGCAGGCTATTTAGAGTCTTGGGACTTAGCCTCTGCTCAGCTGTGCAACGTTAGGCTGGTCAGGAAACCTCTTAGAGCCTCAGTTTCCTTGGTAATGTTACTGTTTCAGTGGCTTGTAGTGAATATTCAGAGATTAATGTGTATGAAGCAGACTTGCATGTGAGGTGCACCCATAGTAAAATCAGAAAATGTAGGCCAGCAGCAGCAGCTTTTTATTCCCCGCCATGTTTTCAGAAGCTACACAAGTGGGGCTTTCCAAGCTGCTTAGGATCTGTTTGCTGATCTAGTGTAAGGGGTTGTGGCTGAGCAAACCAAACAAGGGAAAGGTGTAAAGTGAAGAAGCAGGAAGTCAAGGCCCCACCCATGCAGACTTTAGCTGTCCTGATCTGGCAGACAGCCCTGAGCCAGGGCACTGACATGGTCTCTGAGGAGCCCTGAAGATTAGAAAAGCCCTGCAGGGATTATTTCTGCCTGGTTTCCTGGGAGCTTGTGTAGCAGTCATCCAACCCCTGGATCAAATGGTGGAAAGGCTGTCCCTAGTGTCCTCACCTGAACAGAACGCTAAAAAGCAGTGTTCAATTGCCCCATATCTGATGATATCCTACCCCTTTAAAGCCTCTCCTTATACTCTGCCCCCAGAGACCTGCTGTTGCCTAGGCAAGGGTAGACTGGCTTTTGAGTCACTTGGTAGAGGCCCTATCAGGAGCCCAACCCAAGTAAACAGCTCTCCCCATCTCTTGCACCCTGCTCCTGTTGTTTCCCCAGGCCATTGCCCCCATGTTCTAAAGAGTCACCCAGCTCAAAGCTGAGCAAAGACAATGAGAGAAGCTGCCTTCTGCTGCAGCTACCTAGAGGAGGGGCCACAGTAGTGTGATGGGACTAGCTTCCTGGAGCTCAGTGCCTGTTCACAACCACTATCTTCACACTGCCTGAGCCTGCTGCTTTGGGCTTTGGCCTGGCTCCCCCAGCCACTATAGGGAATGTAAGCTGGTTCAACCATTGTGGAAAGCAATATGGAAGTTCCGCAAAAAACTAAACATAGAAATACCATTTGACCCCAGAATCCCACTCCTTGGAATATACCCAAAGAATACAACTTCTCAGATTAAAAAAGACATATGCACCCCTATGTTCATTGCAGCACTTTTTACAATAGCCAAGATATGAAGCAACCTAAGTGTCCGTCGTAGATGAATGGATAAAGATGTGGTACATATATACAATGGAATACTATTCACCCATAAGAAGGAAACAAATCCTACCATTTGCAACAACATGGATGGAGCTGGAGGACATTATGCTCAGTGAAATAAGCCTGGTAGAGAAAGACATGCCAAATGATTTCCCTCATTTGTGAAGTATAACAATGAAGCAAAAATGAAGGAACAAAATGGCAGCAGACTCAGAGACTCCAAGAATGAACTATGTGGGAGGGCGGATGGGGAGGGAGGGAGAAGGCGACTGAGGGGTATTATGTTTAGTACACATGGTGTGGGGGATCACGGGGAGAACAGTGTATCACAGAGAAGGGACATAGCAGATCTCTGGCAACTTGCTACACTGATGGACAGTGACTGCATTGGGGCATGGGTGGGGACTTGATAATATGGGTAAATGTAGTAACTACATCGTTTTTTCATGTGAAACCTTCATGAGTGTATATCAATCATACCTTAATAAAAAAAAAATGAACAGGCCACCATAGACTCCTGATTGCAATTAGCAGGCAGGCAGCAAACAGCTGGAACTTGACATTGACCACTATGTCATGAAATCCTGGCTTGCCCTCCCAGTGACAAACCATTTCTTTTTTAATTGTGGTAAAGACATAAATTTTACTGTCTTAACTTTTAAAGCAAAGCAAAACATGCTCAAACGAAAACAAAACTGGATCTTTCATATCTTCCATGTGACTAGGTGGCAGGTGAAAATTGCTGAAGCTCTCAGGCCAAGGGGAGCATGGGGAGGAGAGCAGAATGGTTGGGAGAAGAGGGTTCTAATCCTGGCTGCTACTCTGACTTCATTCATCTGAGAATACTGGTCATTCTAGTTACCACTGGGCACTCACTCTGTGTTATGTACTGTATGCAGTGCATTTCTCTGAGGGTCAGAAACAAAGTCTGAGGTGGGGCAATATATGACTATTACCAGTTAGAGCTGGTGGTGAATGATGGAACTAGAATTCAACCCCTGGTCTGACTCTAAAGCCTATACTGTTGTCTTCCACAGTCCGCTTTGTTTTGGGGAGAGAAGAGGCCCTGGTCATAGGATACAGCACTTGGTGGCCAGTTGGAATGCTGTAGGTACAAAACATGGAGGGTGACTGTTCATACTCCAAAGCCTGGTGGATGGTCAGAAAGCTGACTTCATACCCACTCACAAGGGAACAAGATGGGGAAGGGGGGGCAGATGGACTGGGGAGGGCACTTCCTGAGGCACCCTCATCTGCTTTTATCTGCAACCATACTCCCCCATTCTGAACCTTCATGCCCACTTTAACAGCCAGACGGGCAGTTTTCCATCTCCATTTTTATTGAAATACAAAAAGTGCAAAGGTGAAATAATATGATTGATGCCAAAGAAGTCATTAAGTGTAAATGTGAATACTTGAGACACAGTACAAGCCCCACCCACCCCCAGGTAAGGACCAGTGGGGGAGGGGACAGGAGAAAGACCAGATAGATCCACAAGGCTCCCCAGTAAATGGGGATGTGAGCAACACCTGATACACAAAGGAGGCGGGAAGCAGAGGCTCAAGCCTGGGCTAGAGTCACATGACTGATGGGGAATCAGCGGCTACTCCAAGCCCAGGGAGTTCTGACCTGCTAGTTCTGAGGAGAGAGCCCAGGGAGGTCAGGGCCCAGGCCGGACCTGGCTTGCAGATGGCCTGGGCCACTGTGCAGGTACGTCCCTGCTGCCAGGGGACAAGCTGCAGGAAGAGTTCTTTGCGGCTCACCAGTAAAGAGTAATTCTAAGGGACATAGCTGGAGTTAGAGCTTCAGTCATACCCAGGGTCCAGCAGAGGGTCCTGTACTTGGGGGACTCACCTGACAGGCTGATCTACTTAGCAAAACCTCTGCCTGGCCCCTTCAGGAGTCCCCAGCTGGATGGATGAGCCACCACAGATCCTGAGGCACTAGGTCACTGCTGGCCAGAGCAGGGACCAGTGTGATTCTACAACAGACATGACTGCAAGAGTCTTAGGCTGAGGACATGTCTACATGGGAAAGGAAGGGGAGGCAAGGCAAGGGGGCTGAGACTGCTTGTCATTGGTTAGACCAGACACTAGAAGGCTCTCGGGCATAGTGGAGTGTCTCAGATGGATGCTGGGATTCAGCCTGTCATCCAAGCTGCCAGTCCTGGCAGAACCAGGGGGTTAGGACACCCCAGGGCAGTGCCACTGGGGAAAGGTTGGCCCAGGATGTGTAGAGGATAAGGAGGCAAAAACAGGAAGCAGACTCCAGCCCTGTCATTCCTTAGGTCTGAGAACACCCAAAGCTGAGCCGTTGGGACAGGAGCAGGATGCTTGCACCCAGGCCTCCATCCAGATGGCAGAGCTTTGGTAGGGCCAGCCAAGCCAGCAGAGCCTCTCATGCCCCAGCAGTCAGGAGGGGAGAACCAGCCCCAGCTACCAGCCCAGCTGGCAGTGATTTTAGCATCTGCCGTTGCTGGCGACAAAGGCAGGAGAAAGCAGGTGAGGCTGCTGGGGCCAATTCTTCCCCTGCAGGAAGGGCCAAGGCCAGCTCTGCAGAGCCTGGCAGGAGCCAAGGAGGCAGTGAGAAGTATAAGGCAAAGAAAAACATCTGGTTCCAGCAAGGCTTCCTGGACCAGTGAGGTGGGTGGGGCACAGGGAAGGAGGGGCTGCTGGTTGGCTGGCTCCAGCTTCTGTTGCGCTAGGGCCTCATGGTCTCTTCCTGGGCAGGAGCCCCAGGCTCCTGAAAGGCTGAAGCCAGGAGAGTCCAAACTGGGGCTATCAGAGAAGGGGCTGGTGGGGCAGGGGTGGGCTCAGAGCCCCCTGGGGTCAGGGCTAGGGAACAACTCCCCTTGATGATCCAGGAGGAACTTAGTGAATGTGTTGATGGGATTAATGGCCTTGAGGGTGATGGCAGCATCCTTGGCCCACAGCAGGTTAGGGCCAAAGACGACAGCCAGGTTAGTGTTGGTCATCTTGTTCTGGTCAGAGCGGGCAGAAATCTATGGAGGGAAGCAGGGGGCTGCAGCAGGAAGCCACAAACCCTGCCTTCCACACCCAGCAACTAGCTACCCAGGAGCAGCAGTGGGGGCAGCTCTTCCTGCCTCCTCCATGCAAGCAGAAGAGGCTGAGGCAGAGTCTCACCTGTACCAGAAAGGCAGTGAGGAAACGAAGCACCTGATAGTTCTCCTCAGGCAGCATCTGGAATACCTGCAGTGTGGCCTCCACCCTCTGGCTCTCATCAATGTCTGTGGGGAATGGGGGCCCAGGTTACAGGAGCCCAGGGCTGGGCTGACAAGAGGCTAGGGGGGACCCCAACCAGAGTTACCTTGGAGGACAGGCCAAATTCACCTGCTCCAGTCAAGCCTTGACCCCGACCCAGCAGAAGCAGCCCAGAGGTGGGGAGGGAAGAGAGAGGCACTCACTGAGGAAGCCCACAACATGTGGGTAGAAGTCAAAGGTGAGCAGGGGCTCAGGAAGCTCCCGGAGGAAGGTCTTGAGGATGACTGCTGGCAGATGCAACTCATTGTACTGGTTGAAGTTCACAGGCAGCCCTGGGGTAGGGACAGAGGTGGAAGGGTGGAGAGGAGCTGAGACCAGCCTGGTGGCCAGCAGCCCATCCAAAGGCCAAGCAGGCTCCACTGCCCAACTTTGCCCTCAGCCACTGCTCAAGCCCCCTCCTACCAGAGAGCCTCCTCTTGCACCTGCCTTCCCCTCTTCCTCTGTGACACGGGGACACAGGTTCAGGCCATACAGGTGGAGTAGGGGCCTGCAGCACATTCTACAGGTATTCCTCACCTCCAGAGGAACCTGAACCTGGGACATGGGAGCCTAGCAAAGGAGGCAGCAGGCCTGGGACAGCCAGGCAGGAGTGAGATCCATGTAATACTAAATGCCACAGAAACCTCTGACAGGCACACACTGAGATCTTTGTTTATAGGGTAGCACAAGGCACAGAAGCCCCTCAACAGTCACACGTGTCTAGCCCCACCACACCACTTCCCCACCCACGATCTGTGCCTGTGGGCCTGGGCATCCCCAGGCCACTTACCCATGTTGTACTTCTGCTGCACTTCCCGTACCACCTGGGTGTTGGCCGACCTCCGGAAAATCCCCTCAGTGGTGAGAGCTGGGAAATAGTGGGGCCTGATGAGTCTCAGAGCTCTGTGGCAATGTGCAGGCTCCTCAACCCATTCTTTGGCTTGGGGTTCCAGTCAGGGTCAGGCTGGGTGCTGATGCATGCAGGACCTCTCAGCCCTGGGGTCAGAGCTGATGGTCAGGTGCTCACCGTGGGCCTGTAGGTAGGCAACAGTCTCCCGAAGCACAAGCGGGATGGGCTGCTGCTCTGGGTTCTTCTCCTGGAGGCTGTGGGAACAAGGGCAGCGAGCAGGTCTTCAGCCCTTGTCGATCCCCAGCCACCAGGCCTTCACACCCTTTGCATACTCACTGCTGCAGTGAGACCCCAAACTGCTGGTTGGGCAGAGGAGGCCGAGGTGGCATGGGCTTGGGGGCTGTTGCTGGGCTCTTCTGTGTGGATTTGATGAAGTCATCGTACCTGGGGGCGCAGATGGGAGGATCAGGCCCTCTACCCAGCTCCGTAGTCACTATGGCAACCCTTGTTTGCTGGGCACTTACTGTGCTACTTCACATAGGTTACCTCATTCAATCTTTATAACAACCCTGCTTTGCACATGGGAAAGTGAAGACTTAAAGAGACTTGTCATGTAGCTTTTAAGTGACAGAAGTGGGATTTGAACTGGCCTTCCCTGACCCCATGTGCTGTCTCTTGACCATTACATTCATTTCTTGTTTACTCTGGAGTTTCAGAGCTTCCTCTCCCCTTGGCCAGCATGTTGTACCCCACAAACATGATAAATGTGTACACATGTGGCTGGTGGGTACACACAAAAGCCCTGCCCCCAGCCTCACTTGAGCACTTGGTGGGGGATCCCCAGTTGCTCCAGCTTAACATGCTCACTCAGGTCGCTCAAGTAATTCACATAGAAGATCTTCTGCCCAAACTTGAAGCTGCCGACAAAAGAAAGGACACGGATGGGTCAGAGTGGGCCCACTTCAGCAGGCCTCCAGGGTTCCCTCAGCAGCCCACCCAGATCAGACAGAGGCCTAGTCCCAAACTGGTCTGTCCCCAAGGTGCTGGTCTCCTCAGGCACCTGCTATAGAGTTCAAGGGGAAGCATGGGGAGACTCTGGCCCCAGCCCCCTACCCCATCAGCCTGCTCACCTAATGATGGGCTTGAAGAGGATGAGCAAGGTCTTTATGAATGTGGTGGGGTGCACAATGTACAGAGCCTTGATGTTCTTCTTGTACCTACAGAGGCAGAACAAATGGGTGGGCATGGCAGCAGAGGCAGAACAAACAGGTGGGCATGGCAGCAGAGGCACAGAGCTAGGTTCTTAATGAACAGTTTCTCATTTGACATGGCAAGCTTGAGAGATGAGTGCCATTGTTGCCCCATTTTACAGATTAGGAAACAGAGGCTCAGAGAGATTAAGGAACAGGAAAAGTCACAGAACAAGTAGGTAGAGAAACTGGCATTTAAGCCCAGGCATTCTGACTTGAGAGTATTTTACCCAGGTGGGAGCACTTGCCTCCCCCAGGCATGGAATAAGCTCCTCACTGAGCAGAGGATAGCCCAGAACCTGGCTGAGCTGCTGCTGGTTCAGAGACACCAGCCCCAGGCCCAGGCCCTGAAGCCCACTCCCAGGGCCCAACCCACTTGCGATCAAACTCCCGGTAGGCATCCCGGAGCCAGCCAAGGGAGGGCTTGTTCTCGCTGGTTAGGCCATGATGCAAGTAGAGCAGCGTGTAGTCACTCTCCACATACTGGTCCAGGGTGTGCTTCAGGTACCTTCAGGAGAAAAGCCCTCTAAGTCTGCCCTGTACACAAGCATGGCCCCATTAAGACAGAACCTGGCACCCTAGGAATATCCTGCTTATATCACACCCCTGCCTCAGAGCCCCTCTCCTGTGTGGGCTGTTCTGGCTGCATGGTCTGTTATTATGTTGTTGTGGAGGACAGTAGGTGGTCTGAGTGGAGGAATAATAGTAATCATATCAGCAACAGCTCTCTGTTTTGAGCACTGACTAGATGCCAGGAGACTAGGACTAACTGGAGCCCTCACATACCTGCAGTGAAAATGGGAGTGACATTCCCCCACCCCACCCCCCACAGGATTGCCCTGAGGCAATAAAAATGATAGTAGCCACTTATCAACATTAAGCTTTTAGTGTCTGCCAAGTACTTTGCACACATTATCTCATGCTTTCCTTAAACAATAGAGGCTGATATTATCACCTTACAAGTGAGGGCAATGAAGATCAGAGAGGTCAAATACTTATCCAAGGTCACACAGCTGTGGTAGAGCCTGGAGATGAACTAACTCAAAAGTTTGTGTTTATGACTAAGGGGCAGCTTTGCCTTTTACACTCAGATTCCCAGTGCAGGATGTAAAGGGAGTCCCATGAGAGGGGATCAGGGTAGCCAGTGCAACTCCTTCCCTGCTCAGTCACTGGACTTTTCATAGACCAAGGAGCCATATCTCAAGTTCTCTGTACTCACAACACAATACCTACCACCCCAACATAAACACACACACAGGTGTTCAGCCCATCTGAGGTGAAGTATGAAGGGAATGAACTCAAGGAAGGCATAGGAGGCCAGTGGAAGGCCGTCGTTCTGGTTGGCCAACTGCTCCTAGGCCCAGCAGGAACATCACTCCAGGATGGGATGCTGGGTTTGCAGGAATGCTAAGGACTTCCAAGAGGAGGTAGGGAAGAAGAGAAGGAGCCTGGAGAAGTACCTGAGGATTTGACTACGTATACAGACACAGCCGGACCTCACTCGTGGAGGGCAATTTAAGTCATGGCCCATGGTCCTGGGCTGGGCCTAGGTGAGGTGTCTAATGCCAGGTTGTACTGTGATTCTGATCATTACTACTGTGTGGTAATTTACTCCTTATACACATTGAGTGCTTGCAGAGAACTGCCATATAAAAAGATAGCATCTTGGAACTCTAAAAGAGCAAAAACTGTAATGAAAATACACTCAACTTTTGATGAGTGTTATAAACTTTTGTAGGCCAATAAACTGATGTTATCCAAAGCTATAAAATTTTCATAATTTCTGGTATGGTAAATATGTCCAGATATTCATTCTAAGAAAATAATCAGAGATGAACAGAAACATTTTTGCAGAAGGCTGTTCATTGCAGCCTGTATCACAATGGAAGAAGAAAACTGAGCAGCAAACTAACTGTCCAACAACAGGGAATTGGTTAAATAAATCACAGAAGATCTATAAATAGAATACCCCACAGGATGTTTCTGTAGCCAGACCCAATCTGTGAAGTTAGATGTCTTAACAGTACCCAGAAGGATTAAATATGGCAGCAGGAGAGGTGAGACAGAGGCTTCCCCCTAAAACTGCATACAATAAGAAAATACAATTAATATGACTAATCCTGAGAGAGCAACAGGAAAGAGGGGTACGCCAGACTGCATACACCTGGAGAAAACAGCAGACCTCATGGAACAGGGTAATGTACTAAAGCCGTGGCCCGATGGGACCTAAGCCCTTCCCCCACCCCACCTCACCAGCGGGAGGAAGAGAAACGGAGCAGGGAGGGAGTGGAGGCCTGGGACTGCTGAATACCTAACTCCGGAGATCTGCTCTGGGAGCACAAACCTACATTTCATGGTGCTTGCATGGTACTATTGTGATTATGGGGTTGGAAAGCTAAGACAGGCAGAATTCCTGGAGAGACAGATTTCAGCTGTGTGTGGAAAGCAGGGATCCACATCCAGCTGCTCTGGGACAAAACAAAGGTGGGCAGTCTGAGAGACTTAACAGCATGAGGGCTGCTAAAGGGGCAAGGATTGCACAGAGCTTACTGTTCAGAGAAAGGACAGGTAGACAAAATTGTCTGGGTGCACTCTGCCCAGCAGGTTGGGAGCTTTCAGGATCTTCAGGCACTCCAGCCCCCTGGCTCGCTACACAGCTCCAATGACCCCCTCCGTGATACGCAGCCTACTGCGGCTTTCTTCCAGCCAGCCCCACCTGGCTCACAAACTGGCAAACCCTACCCTGGCATTAGGCCAGCCAGAGGGAAGCCCCATGTACAGCAACAACAAACACAAAGCATAGAGACTTATACCTGTGTGCTTGGCCCACTGGTACTGGCAGTGGAGGCAGGCATAGCAGCCAGGAAGCAGGAAACAGCTCTTTCCTCCCCCCAGGCACCAATACTGCTTCCCTGTGACCCCTGACACTGCCTCAAGGGCTGAGCAACTCCAGAGAGTAGAGTGTCTGGGCACTAGAGGGCACCAAATACAAATATGAAACGCTAAAGAAACCTGGTTCAAAGTAAAATTATGAATACAACACCTGAGAAAGATTCAAAAACATTGACCTCATGAATCTTCCTGAAAGGGAGTTCAAAATAAAAATCATTTACATGCTCATGGAGGTACAGAAAAATACTCAAGAACTCAGGAATGAATTATGGTCAGAGAACCAATCACTGAAGAGTACAATGGAAGGTATTAAAAGCAGATTAGATACAGTGGAGGAGAAGATAAATGAAATAGAAATTAGAGAAGATGAATATAAAGAAGCAGAGACTCAGAGAGAAAAAAGGATCTCTAAGAATGAAAGAATATTGAGAGAACTGTGTGACCAATCCAAATGGAACAATATTCACACTATAGGGGTACTAGAAGAAGAAGAACAGAAAAAGGGATAGAAAGTGTCTTTGAGGAGGTAATTGCTGAAAACTTCCCTAATCTGGGGAAGGAGATAGTCTCTCAGGCCATGGAGATCCACAGATCTCCCAACACAAGGGACCCAAGGAAGACAACACCAAGACATATAGTAATTAAAATGGCAAAGATCAAGGATAAGGACAGACTATTAAAAGCAGCCAGAGAGAGAGAAATAAGATCACATACAAAGGAAAGCTAATCAGGCTATCATCAGACTTCTCAGCAGAAACATTACAGGCCAGAAGGGAGTGGCATGATATACATAATGCAATGAAGCAGAAGGGCCTCGAACCAAAATTACTTTATCCGGCAAGATTATCATTTAAATTTGAAGGAGGGATTAAACAATTTCCAGATAGCAAAAGCTGAGAGAATTTACCTCCCAGAAACCATCTCTACAGTCTATTTTACAGATACTGCTATAGATGGAAGTGTTCCTAAGGTTTAATACCTGTCACCAGAGGTAATAAAACCACAGTAAAGAGTGTAGAACTGTTAATTAGTAAGCAAATGCAAAATTAAATTAACTATTCCCAAAGTCAATCAAGGGATAGGCAAAGAATACAGAATATGATACCTAATATATAAAGAATGAAGGAGGAAGAAAAAGAAGGAGAAAAAAAGAACCTTTAGATTGTGTTTCTAATAGGATATTGAGTGAGTTAAGTTAGACTCTTAGATACTAAGTTAACCTTGAACCTTTGGTAACTACAAATCTAAAGCCTGCAATGGCAATAAGTACATACCTATCGATAATCACACTAAATGTAAATGGACTGAATGCAACAATTAAAAGACACAGAGTCACTAAATGGATAAAAAAACAAGACCCATCTATATGCTGCCTACAAGACTCACTTTAAACCCAAAGACATACACAGACTAACAGCAAAGGGATGGAAAAAGATACATCATGCAACTCATAGGGAGAAAAAAGCAGGAGTTGCAGTACTAGTATCAGACAAAATAGACTTCAAAACAATGTCACAAGAGACAAAGAAGGACATTACATAATGATTAAGAGGTCCATCCAACAAGATATAACCATTATAGATATCTATGCTCCCAACACAGGAGCACCTACATATGCGAAACAAATACTAACAGAATTAAAAGGGGAGATAGAATGCAATGCATTCATTCTAGGAGACTTCAACACTACTCACTCTGCAGGACAGATCAACCAGATGGAAAATGAGTAAGGACACAGAGGCACTAAACAGCACATTAGAACAGATGGACCTAACAGACATCTACAGAACTCTACACCCAAAAGCAGAAGAATACATATTCCTCTTAAGTGCACATGGTACATTTTCAAGAATAGATCATATACTAGGCTACAAGAAGAGCCTTGGTAAATTCAAAAAGACTGCAATTGTACCAACCAGTTTCTCAGAACACAAAGGCAGGAAACTAGAAATAAATTACTCAAAGAATATGAAAAATCCCACAAACACATGGAGGCTTCACAACATGCTCCTACATAACCAAAAGATCAATGACCAGATAAAAACAGAGATCAAGCAATATATGGAGACAAATGACAACAATAATTCAACACCGCAAAATCTGTGGGATGCGGCCATGGCTGTGCTAAGAGGAAAGTATATTGCAATACAGGCCTACCTCAGGAAAGAAGAACAGTCCCGTATGAACACTCTAAAATCACAATTAACAAAACTAGATAAGGAAGGACAAATGAGGCCCAAAGTCAGAAGAAGGAGGGACATAATAAAGATTAGAGCAGAAACAAAATCGAGAAGAAAGAATCAGTGAAAGCAAGAGCTGGTTCTTTGAGAAAATAAACAAAATAGATAAACTCCTAGCCAGACTTATCAAGAAAAAAAGAGAGTCTACACACATAAACAGAATCAGAAATGAGAAAGGAAAAATCACTACAGATACCACAGAAATACAAAGAATTATGAGAGAATACTATGAAAAATCATATGTCAACAAACTGGATAACCTAGAAGGGACAACTTAGTAGAAAAATACAACCTTCCAAGGCTGTCCCAGAAAGAAACAGAAAATCTGAACAGACCAAGTACCAGCAATGAAATTGAACTGGCAATCAAAAAACTACCTGAGAACAAAACCCCTGGAACAGATGGCTTCACTGCTCAATTTTATCAAACATTTAGTGAAGACCTAATACCCATCCTCCTTAAAGTTTTCCAAAGAGTAGAAGAGGGAATACTTCCAAATGCATTCTATTAGGCCAGCATTATTCTAATACCAAAACCAGGCAAAGACACTACAGAAAAAGAAAATTACAGATCAATATCTCTGATGAACATAGATGTAAAAATACTCAACAAAATATTAGCAAACTGAATTCAAAAATACATCAGAAAGATCATCCATCATGATCAAGTAGAATTTACTCCAGGGATGCAAGGATGGTACGACATTCGAAAATCCATCAACATCATCCACCACATCAACAAAAAGAAGGACAAAAACCACATAATCATCTCCATAGATGCCTGAAAAAGCATTCAACAAAATTGAACATCCATTCATGATAAAAACTCTCAACAAAATGGGTATAGAGGGCAAGTACCTCAACATAATAAAGGCCATATATGACAAATCCATAGCCAACATTATACTTAACAGCAAGAAGCTGAAAGCTTTTTCCTTTAAGATCGGGAACAAGACAAGGATGCCCACTCTCCCCACTCCTATTCAACATAGTTCTGGAGGTCCTAGCCACGGCAATCAGACAACACAAAGAAATAAAAGGCATAAGATTGTTAAGAAAGAGGTTAAACTGCCCCTGTTGGCAGATGACATGCTATTGTACATAAAAAACCCTAAAGAATCCACTCTAAAACTACTAGATCTAATATCTGAATTCAGCAAATTTTCAGGATACAAAATTAATACACAGAAATCTGTTGCATTCCTATACACTAATGATGAACTAGCAGAAAGAGAAATCAGGAAAACAATTCCATTCACAGTTGCACCAAAAAGAATAAAATACCAAGAATAAACCTAAGCAAGGAAATGAAAGACTTATACTCTGAAAAGTACAAGATACTCATGAGAGAAATTAAAGAATGTACCAATAAATGGAAGCACATCCCGTGCTCATGGATAGGAAGAATTAATATTGTCAAAATGGCCATCCTGCCTAAAGCAATCTATAGATTCAATGCAATTCCTATCAAAACACTAACACCATCTACAATGAACTAGAGCAAATCATTCTAAAATTCATATGGAACCAGATAAGACCCCGAATAGCTAAAGCAATCCAGAGAAGGAAGAATAAAGGTGGGGGGGATTATGCTCCCCAACTTCAAGCTCTAATACAAAGTCACAGTAATCAAGACAATTTGGTACTCGCACAAGAACAGACCCATAGACCAATGGAACAGACTAGAGAGCCATGATATAAACCCAACCAGATATGCTCAATTAATATATGATAAAGGAGCCATGGACATACAATGGAGAAATGACAGCCTTTCAACAAGTGGTGTTGGCAAAACTGGACAGCTACATGCAAGAGAATGAAACTGGATTATTGTTTAACCCCATACACAAAAGTAAACGTGAAATGGATTGAAAGACCTGAATGTAAGTCATGAAACCATAAAACTCTTAGAAGACAACATAGGCAAGAATCTCCTGAATATAAGCAAGAGCAACTTCTTCCTGAACCCATCTCCTTGAGCAAGGCAAACAAAAGCAAATATGAACACATGGGACTACATAAAACTAAAAAATTTCTGTATGGCAAAGGACACCATCAACAGAATAAAAAGGCATCCTACAGTATGGGAGATATATTTGTAAATGACATATCCGACAAGGGGTGAACATCCAAAATATATAAAGAACTTACATGCCTCAACACCTAAAAAAGCAAATAACCTGATTAACAAATGGGCAGAGGATAAGAAGAGACAGTTCTCCAAAGAAGAAATTCAGATGGCCAACAGACACATGAAAAGATGCTCCACATCACTAACCATCAGGTAAATGCAAATTCAAACCACAATGAGGTATCACCTCACACCAGCAAGGATGGCTGGCATCGAAAAGACTAAGAACAACAAATGCTGGCAAGGATGCGGAGAAAGGGGAACCCTCCTACACTGCTGGTGGGCATGTAAGCTAGTTCAACCATTGTGGAAAGCAATATGGAGGTTCCTCAAAAAACTAAAAATTTACCCAAAGAATACAACTTCTCAGACTCAGAAAGACATATGCACCCCTATGTTTATTGCAGCACTTTTTACAGTAGCCAAATATGGAAGCAACCTAAGTGCCCATCAGTAGATGAATGGATAAAGAAGATGTGGTACATATACACAATGGAATACTATTCAACCATAAGAAAGAAACAAATTCTACCATTTACAATAACATGGGTGGAGCTGGAAGATATTATGCTCAGTGAAATAAGCCAGGTGGAGAAAGACAAGTGCCAAATGATTTCTCTCATTTGTGGAGTTAACAATGAAACAAAACTGTAGGAACAAAAGAGTAGCAGACTTACAGACTCCAAGAAGGACTAGTGGTTACCAAAGGGGAGGGGTGTGGGAGGGCAGGTGGGGAGGGAGGGTGAAGGGGATTGAGGGGTATTATATTTAGTACACATGGTGTTGGGGATCACAGGGAAAACAGTGTAGCACATATAAGGCAAACAGTGAATCTGTGGCATCTTACTACACTGATGGACAGTGACTGCATTGGGGTATGGGTGGGGAATTGATAACATGGGTAAATGTAGTAACCACATTGTTTTTTCATTTGAAGTCTTTGTAAGAGTGTATATCAATAATACCGTAATAAAAAAAAAAACAGTACCCAGAACACTACCCTTTGGGCAGAGACTAGACAAACAAATGGAGGTTGATATGTGTAGGTGACATGGGTGAATTCAGGTTTTGAAAATTCACCAAGGAATATACATAATTTGTTCACTTTTCTGTATATATATATATGTCAATAAAATGTCTTTTAAAGGATGTCCTTCAAGAATGTTTAATACTCAGACAGTAAAAATGTTATGTAAGGTAAAAAACACTATAGAATTCTGTATATGTTACAGGAAGTGAATACACTAAAATATTCACAGTGGTTTTCTCTTCAGTTGGTGGGCTTATGGGAGACTTTTTTTTACCATCTTTGTATTTTTAGCCACCTACATTTTTCTAAATTCTTGAAATTTGTAATACTTTACAAATATATACAGTGGCATTTCATGTATATTGTCTTACTTAATGCCCATAACATTCCTGTGAGGTGGCCACAATTCTTATTAGGGCTCAGAAGAGACTTGCCCCCAAGCACACAGCTAGTAAGAGGTACAGCTAAAGTTTAATTAGTCTAACGAATCCATACCTCTAGCGCTTTCTATTTCAACACTCCCAGATATGGCTGGACAAGTGGGAAAAGCCAAGCCTGAGATAATCTGACTGAACACAAGAGGCCAGGACTGACCCACGATGGAAGCACCTCCGTGCCAGGCTGGCTAGGGGTGGGGAGATCTCTCCAGGAAGGGGCGGAGGACAGACAGGCTGGATGGTAGAGGGCTCCTAAAGCTGGAGGAAGCTGCAGAGTGGGTAGAAACTCACTCAGCAACCTCTCCTGAAAATTCGGTGCTTTCCCCTCTGCTTCCTCTGACTTCCTCCCACTTGGATTATTACCTGGGTAGGAGTCTGTCACCTGCCTTATACTGTGATACAACCACAGGGGAGGGTGTGTGACTCAGTCATCCTCAGGCTAAGCTGGTTGAACTACATGATGGGCCTGGACAGGAATCTGCCTGCCAGAGAGAAGGAACTCACAGAAGGCTGGAGGACTCAGGCCTGGCTCTGGCTCACCAGGACTACAGATTCAGTGCTGAGGCCCTCTCTCCTTCTGCAGCTGCATCCTCGGTCTGCCCCAGGCCACTTCCCACCGCCTACACACACACAATCATTCAGGATCCCAAAGAGCTGCTATGGGCAGACATTTTCAATTTCAGAGTGCTGTAAACTGGTCAGGAGAGAAGTGCAAGATGGTAAAGGTACACATACTAAGGAGCTTCATAAGGAAGTCAGTTATGCTCTGCTTGTGTGGCTGTGGGACCAGTGTTGGCTCAGTAATGAATGCTTACTGGAACACAGTCTATCAAACGTCTGCTTTCAACCAGTCTTTGGACTTGCCCCAGGAGATTTCTAGACCAACCAGAGCTACTACATGTATTTGGTTCACAGAATCTGGATAGGTACAGAAATCATTGGCACCAAATTTGGCACAAAATAACACTAATTATTTGTATAAATGATGAAAAACTGCAACATTAGAAGTACCAGATCATTATAAAAATCAGCCCTCACATTTGGACAGTAGTTTACTTTCCAAAACATGTTCACAGCAGAATTTTACTCCTACAAGGAGGAGGGCTGTATTACTACACACTACGCAAAGTAACTTGAACTAGAAGTCAGGTCTGGCTCCTACCCCAGTGTCCCCCAAAAGTAAAATAGCTCCTTTGGGAGATGAGGGGAGACACTGAGGAAGGTGGCTGGTCCCCCCACACAGCCCCCTAGCAGGCAAGGCCAGAGAGGGAACTGGTGTCAGACTAGACTGGGGTCTGGGCACAGGTCCCTCCACCTTCCCCATAGATACTCACCCCAGGAGCTTGCTGTGGTCCAGCTGGTGGCTTGGGGGCATTCGGCAAGCACTGAACACAATGATCTTCCGCCCATATTTGTCATCTCCTAGGTGTGGACAAAGATGGAGCACAGTGGATGGAAGATGAGCTGAGTGGGGTGAGTAGCTGAAAGGTTGCCAGGCCTAAAGACCCGCACCATCTTGTACAAGGGCCAGAGTGGCCCATGCAGATATACCTCTGGGAAGCCACCTGCATTCAAGGGCATGACACCCAAGAAAGAGGGATAACTGCTCTCAGAGTTACTGAGCTGGGGTATAAAAATATAACATGACTTTTTAAAAAATCACACAAAGTGAAAAATCACACCAAATGTTTATTAATGGATGAACAGATAAAAAATGTGGCATATTCATGCAATGGGATATTGTTCAGCCATAAAAAGGAATGAAGTATTGCTACAAGCTACACTATGAATGAACCCTGAAACATGCTAAGTGAAAGAGGTCAGACTCAAAAAGCTACATATTGTATGATTCCATTTATATGAATTATCTAGAATAGGTAAAATAGGTAAACACACAGAGACAGAAAGCAAATTAGTGTTTTCCAGGTGCTGGAAAGAAGGGAGAACAGGGAGTGACTGCTTATGGTTAGGGGTACAGTACGGGTACAGATGACATTTTGAACTAGAGGTGGTAGTGGCACAACTGTGAATATATTAATACCACCGAACTGTACACTTAAAAATGATTAACTTTATGTTATGTAACTTTCACCTTAGCTAAAAAAACAAAAGTCACACCCACCAAACCAACTGTTATCTTGCCAGTCATCCTAAAAGTCCACATTTAATCCAGAAGCAACTGTTCTGAGCAGCATGTTTTGGATAACTTCTTGATGCTACCTTTACAGCAAGTCCAAGGAAACTAAGGAAATCAATCTGATTACTTAATAGTCATGTTTCATTTTTTACCACTAACAATACTTTCTGATTTTATTAGAATATTAACCACACTTGCTCTTCTCGACTTCTGGACATTTCTAAAAATCTTATCTTTTCTCATTAAGGATATTCTAAAAGAACATGGAGCTCAGAGGAGTCTGTAATCCTTTGGGGAAATGCTCATTTGTATGTAATCGCTCAGGGGTATTTGTCCCAAACTAGTCATTATTTGATCATCTAACCATCTGGCTTTGTCAAGAAGCTGGGGACCAACTGAGACATATGCTACTATCCCCCAAGGTGAGATGCTTTTTCATATTCTTTGCATGGATCAGGAACCCCAAACAAAGGAGTTCCTCCTTGATGAGGACAAGGCTTGGTCCCCATTCCCCCACATTCCAATGACCTTCCCTTCATTTTTAACCTTGAACCTCTCCAAAGACACAAAACCACATTTGCCTAATCTCCATTGCTGCAGAGGCAAATAAGAAAACCACCTACACAACTCATGCAATGCAATGAGTCTGTCTTCCATTACCTCTGAGGATAAAGATCCCCCATGCCTTGCTGAGGGTCTTTTCCATATTGAGTTAACCATGATCTTGATTATTCTTCTTCATCAGTAAATTAACTCAGGAGTCAGTGCTTCTCCAAACAGGTCGCCAAGGCTCTGACCCTTTCTCTAGGGCTGGGCAAGGCTCAATGGAGAGGGTGAAGGAAGTTTCTGGAATGTGCACAGTACAGCCCAGCCCCTCCTGGCTGCACTGTCCACTGTTTTTTGGCTTGATTTAGTGCCTTGTTCCCGGCAGTCTGACTACTATGTCCAGTCTCTGGATCAGCCCCCTCTATCCATCTCATCTCTACCCCAAACACTGCCTAGCCTCTGTTGGCCCTAAAATGTCTTAGCCAGGAACCCCCAAGAATTTCTTGGGTGAGGGTCTGCAGACTGACCCACTAAGCCTAGAGGCTTTGTTCTCTCATCTTAAACTTCCCCAGCTTCTAGCCCTGGAGAATTATAAGCACCTATTTGCCTCCAACTCTTCAGCCTTGAATCCTCTCTTCCTCCTCAACTCCAGTCCAGATACACTCTCAGCCCCCAGTCCTGTAACTGCTCCTTGGCATGACTCACAGGCCCCTCTAGGCCCATACCATATACACCTCCCTCACAGAAGTGCTCACTGCCCAGTCCGATCAGGTGGCTCTGAGCCTCTGCTGCTTTCTCATGCCAGGCACAACTTCCTCTGAAAACTCCGCTCCCTTCCTCTAGGCTAACTCCCCTGAAACCTTAAGGCTCATCCCAGGCAGTCTCCTCCAAGAAGCCTATGTCCTCTGTTCCTTCCCCCAAGACTGCCACATGAACCATCACCCATCTTGTCATGACACTTGGGTTTTCCTGTATAATTCTTTCTGTGCCTGTCTCTTCTACTGGCTTGTGAGCAGCTCCAAGACAGGGACTGCATCTTGTCCATTTTTGAACCACTAGTGCTGGGCCAGAGCCCAGCACACAGCAGGTAGTCCCTAAGGGTTGCCGGCCTTCACAGTCCCAGGCCAGCATTACACAGTATGCATGGTTCTATTTCTGAGCTTGCTCACCATGATATCTAGGTTACAAAACTGCTTTAGGCAGTGGGTTTCCCAGAGCCTGGGGCAGAATTTCTCCAGACTTAGAATTAGGAGGAGAAGGTGCAGCTCCATCTAGCAGCAGGTCTATTTTGAAGGACCAGTGCCACCTGCCCTCTTTCATACCCTAGCTTAGCTCCTGAGGTGCTAGGTTCCTTCTAGGCCAGCCAGAGGTCCCTCCCAGGCTGTTTCCACGGTCTCATCAAATGACTCTTGCTCTGGCAGTACCAATCCAAACTCCTCTCAGCAGTCAGCGAGGTACACACATTGGGGGCACACAACGCCAGAGGGGGCCTGAGCCAGCACTCAGGCCAGGGCATTGCTCATAGCTAGCCCCCTCTCCACCATGGACAAGGCCCCTCCCTGTCCTACAGCTCCTTTCCCTGTCTGTGGGCTCTGGATGTGTCCCTGTACAGACCCTCCCTCCTGTCAAACCTCCCATAAATCCCTTGCTATTTCTGGCTCCCAGGTACTGCCAGCTCCCAGTATCCCGGAGTGGGGCAGCAATTAAGCTGGCCCCACCTAGCCTCCACCAAGAACCCCTCCTGATCCACAGCCCAGAGAGGCCAAGCAGAGTCAGCCAGGAACACACCTACCTGGCTGGGCCCCCTCAGGCTCATCACACCCTGGGAAAACAGAAATACGTTGAAGCTCTGCTTGCAGGGGGTAGACGGGTCATACACGACACGGCAGGGGGCAGTCTCCTCTGCTCCACCTTGTGATTTGGCCACATGGGTGTGGGGGAGGATAGAGACTCCTTCACATCACACACCCCTAATGCCTCAAATAGGTCCACCTCTGGGAGTGAGGACAGAAAGTTCTGAACCCTCAGATGATTCTCCTGTGTCCAGGCCAGGAAATATCTCTCAGCTTTGCTTCCATAGGGGTGAGAAAGACCATACCTAAGGCTTCCAATCCACACCAGGGCAGACACCAGGAATACAAATGCCATGGAAACACCTTTGACATTAGGGACAACTCTTTCAATACCCCCATTCCTCTCTGAACCCAGCATTCGAGAGAGATGCAGCTCCCTACTGTTTTCCTATGGCCAGATACCTCCAGGGTCCCTAAGCCAGCATCACAATGTGCTATCTGGCTTCCGTTGCCAGCCCAATGCCTCAGAGCGGGGCCATGCCTCACTCTTGCTTACAGCTGCCTGGCCTCACCAGTGAGGGCAGACAACAATTAGGGAAAACATGAAGTATCTACAAGTCCAATTTCCTCTTCTAGAAGTAGGACCCTAAGGACAGAAACCAGGTCATCAACATCCTTGCTACCTCCCCTGCTCCTCGCACCTGCTTATGAACAGGTGAGAGGAGGCTCACTGAGGCTGAGACCCAAGGGAGGCTGTACACCCATTCTCAGCAGGGTAGCACATCTGCTGGGACCTGATGCACCAGGGGGTCAGGTGGCCCTAGATTCTGGAAGGAGGCTCTGCCATTCGAAACGTCCTTGGAGGTAGCATTTCCCAGGAGGGCCTGGCACCTCCCTGTTCCCCAGTAACTGATGGGAATGGAAAAGCTGACCTCAGGGCAAAGGGAAGGGAGATTAGCTACTGATTGTAAAGAACAGTGTCTGTGCTCAGGAGCCCAGGGTTAGGGGTCAGAACAGGAGGATGGAGTGAGTACCTGGCCTCTCCCCAGCCCTTCCTCTATGGCACGAGGGGCTGGCTTCCTTGAGCCAGGAGGGCAGACTGGGAGGAAAAGGTGTAATGCTGGGTGTGCTCACCTGCCACCTCTACAATCTGGTGCCGGGCGATGTCGTAGTAAGGGTCATCCCACTTCAGGTGTGTGACGGGTTCCGGGGAGCTGCTTTTGGAGTCATCTGAGGAACACAGTAAAGTCAGGAGGATAATCTGGGGGATGGCACAGTGTTCCTGGAGATTCATGTTCTCTGGTCTTCCTCACAGTAAGGCTGATGATCCCATCCCATTCTGGGGCTGGGTTGCCTGCCCCAATCCTGCCCTCCTGGGCTCTCCCTTCAGCAGAAAGGGGGGCTCCCCCTCTAAGGTGCCTATGGCTGCCTGGGATCCAACGGTGCCCACCTGATTTGGGAAAGTCAGGCATTTCATCTGAGGGCCAGTTCTTCTCATCAATGGAGGCTAGCTTCAGCTGGTTCAGAGTCTGGCTGGTGTCATCCAAGGTCAGGTCATCCTGCAACTCTGAGAGAGGGTCCATGGCCAAGCCTGTCCCTCACAATCTCACCCCACAGAACCTGAAGAAAAACCTGGGGGTGGGGTAGTACCAGGTCAGCAACACCCTCTTTTCACCTGTAACTTCTACAGTACACCCTCCCATCCCCACTCTCCTCCGCCAAGCTCCCTTGTCCCTGTTCCTCAACATTTCTCATCCTTGCCAAGAGCCCCATGTAGCTTGGGCTCTCCCCAGTTCAGGCATGTTGCCAGAAAAGGCAGCTTGGACACAGGATGACACAGCTCAGCGCCTGCCCTCAGGCCCTCCAGATGGAGAGGGAAAAGCCGTGCCAGGCCCTGTGCTGCCCATCGCCCAGCTGGGTCAATCATGTAATCCTGGCTGCAGAGGATTAGAGGTCCACATCCTCTCCTCAGGGGTCACAGAACATAGATGCTTCCTAGGCCCCAGCAGTTAAGTAGAGATGTGGCAAGAGTCTAGAAAGTACACAGATGCTCCAAACCCCATTCCTAAAAGAGATCAACTGAGGCCCTGGCTACTCCATCCCTTACTCCTGGCCTGGGGAAGAGTAGGTGGCCAGAGACCATAGGGCCCCAGGAAACAGGCCATGGCCAAGGTGCCCAGCTGGAACTTCTCCAAGACAGGAGCCAGGAGCAGGGGTAGGAATCTGCCTGCCAGTCATAGCAGACCATCTACAAGCTCCTGAGGGCTTCCAAGCCCACTTTGTGGGTAGCGCCTGACACTAGTTCCACGGTGGGAATGGACAAAAGACTGCTCCAGAGACTGGGATGCTCAGATGGGGAAGGGGAAAGTCCATGACATCCAGAACACTGAGATACAGGAGGCAAATAACAACAGCAATTACAGCAGGCTGGGAGAGAGCAGAACCGACTCTCAGACTGGGTTGGCCCAGATCAGGGGTATGGCCATAAGGATGGCTGCATGCAGCCTAGAGGTAGCATCTTCTGCCCTGGCACTAACCAGACACTGATCCCCTCTCCTATCACAAGCTCACCATAGGTGAGGGAGGAGAGTTTCAGTTTAACCCACTTGGTCCAACCCCAGAGAAGAGGCTGCTCTAAGGCTGCTGCAATCCTGGAGCCCAAAAAATGACATATATGGTCAGAGAAGCAGCAGGGCTGATGAGGAGTGCAGACAAGCCCCAGGGAGAAGAGGGGAGAAATGCCAGCCAGGATCCAGACCCCAAACACCTCTGAGCTCTGAAGGAACATGACAACCTCCTGCACATGTCACAGCCAAGGACACTGGGTGGTAAACTGGTTCCCTGTGCCAAGCAACAACCACCCTGTTACCAGGGCAACCACAATGATCCAGTGCTAAAAGCTGTTTCAAGCTCCTGAGCCAAAGCCGAGCAGCTGTAACAGACCAAAAAAAAAAAAAAATCTTCCTCTTTCTCTCTTCTGGCCTTGTATGCTACCCTTATGCACTACTATTGCCTGCCACCAAAATATAAGTCCCTTCCCATGAACACAGAGAAAAATGACCCTCTCTTACTTGGGAATGCATCTCAGGGAATGCAGCTCCCCCAATCCCTTTCAACCCTCGAATGCAGGTGACCCAGAATCCACTCCTGATTCCCCTAACACACTCCTTCCCCCATTCAACCAGGAGGAGGTGAGGGCTTTCAAAAGAGGACTCCCTGGGGAGCAGGGACAGAACTCAGCTGAAAGTAAACACCTCTAGGTCTGAGCTTTCTCTCCATCCCTTCTCTTTGTCACAGCCCCAGCACAAGTGTTTCTTCCGCTCTGCCCACAGCTATCCCAGACAGGTCTTTCTGCATAGAATGGGTGTTTGATGCAACGAAAAATGTATGGGATGAGGTATATGCAGAACTGGACTGTAGTCCTGCCTGAGCCAATGAATTCCAGTAATGCTGGGAAAGTCCCTTCCTTATCTAGGCCTAAATTTCTTCATCTATAGAAGTAAAGGATCCTTCCAAAATACAATTCTGCAGTGTTCTAAAACAATTACGCTGAAGTGAACAGGACTAGAAGGAGCAGCTGGGAGCTGAAGTATGTGTGAGGAAGGGAGAGGGACACCCCCTAGAAAGGGAGCTGAACTTGATTGAACTCCACTTCTTTTCCAGTAATTTCTCTATTTTGTTAGTTTTTCCAAGACTGACCCCTCCCCCTCCATAACCTCCTTTTCCAGCATAACTAATCACAGTGTTTCCAGACTGGCCTCTCCACTACCTCCAACCCATAGCTGTTGCCCCTGTGGGCCCAGAAGCTTAGCTTCCATTCAGTGGTAGGGTGAGGGAAGTTATTGCAGAGAAATTTTAACAAAAGTCGGGAAATGAAGTATCCTGGCTGCCTAAGACCCTAGTCACCTACAAGCCCTGCTCTATTCTGTCAAAAACACTCCTTACTCTGAGATTAATTTTTTCCTTCTCAGGAGGTAAAACAGCTACCTTTACAAATATCTTTGAGAATCTCTTTAGGCAGAGGTTTTAATCTTTGAGAGTGCTGGACCTCTGATATTCTGAGGAAATTTGTGGACTTTTCCCTAAGGAAAATCAGCATGAAATCTTGCATATAATTTCAAGGGGCTCAAAGGCCCTCTGAGAATCTCTGTTTAAGAACCTCTAACCTATTTGGCACATAGGTGCTCAGTCAATTGTTGAATTAATCTCCTCAATGGAGAAGGGAACTAACATTTGTTAAGGCAATAGAGCACCACGAACTGGACACAAATTCTCTTTTAACTTCACAACAGCATCCATAAGTCTTGCACTACTAAGACTACTAAGCCCATTTCACAGTTTGAGAAAAGTGAGGGCCAGAAAAACAAGCAAACATCTCGACATGGTAGAGTCCAAGATCTTAATCCATGTCTGTCTATACAGTGGTCACTTGGCTCATATCAATCCTCAACACTAAGTGACTGGCATTCATATGATTCTCAAGGTTCAGAAGAGGTGCCACAAAGGGGCAAAGTAAAGCCTCTCCTCTAATTTCCCCTATATAAGAACGGAAATAACTTGAAATCGCTTTGCTCTCCTAGCTGGGGCTCCAAAATTGCGAAAATGCAAATTCTGCAATACAACAGCAAGACATTCAACCACAGCCTCGTCTGCGCAGAGCTCTATGGTTTACAAAACCCGGATTAGGTGCAATTATTCCATTTCAGAGATTAAGAAATAGAGATGAAAGCGTGGCCTAATAAGTGGCAGGGTAGAACACTTCCCCCAAATTTCTTCTTAGCGCTTCGCCAGATCAGACGAGGGAGACTTCCCCATCCCAGGGGCTTGCTCGATGACAGCGATCTAACCTGAACCCTGCCCTGGGGTGGGCAAGAGGAAGGCAGCGAAAGGGGTGACGTCCTCTCACTGGAGATCAGGGAGTGGGACAGAATTTCTGCAGCGGTAAGGCCTGACTCCCAGGCTCCATCCCACTCCTACTCCCTTCCTCGGATCCACTCCGGATCCCTATCCGGACTCCATCCCTTCAGACGACAAGGCTATCCCTTCTCTTCCTTCCCCACCCCCACCCACCAGGAAGACCCCGCGCCCTGCAGCTCACCGTGGTAGGGTACTGCTCTCTGCCACGCCTGTCAAAGCTCGGAAAACATCCGGCTCCGCGATAGAACTGGAACCACCCACTCCGGCTCTCCTCACTCCCCAGCCACTTGCGCCACACCTCCAACCCACTTCCGTCTTGCAACCAGGTCCAAACATGGCTTTTCCAGGAACCCCGCCCACTTTCTGCACGTGCCCTTCCTGGGCGGAGAGCATAACTGTCCGACTCGTTCTCCCCCAAAAGGAGGTGGTTGGAACTATTAGTTCCGCATTCCCATATAGTGGATTCCCTGGTGACATCCGGAATCCGTTTCTTATTGTTCTCGGACAGAGTTTTTCCTCATCAAGTACTCCTAAACTCGCGGTCCTGTGCAATACTGAAGTTTGATTCTTAGGATTCTTTCCTGAGAGGAAATTTGGAAGTCAACGGCTGTCTCCGGAGGGAGCCGAGAAGGCGAAGGTCACTTCCGGCGGGGGGAGAGAAGTCTTTTGTTTTTGTTTTTGTTTCTTCCTGATCCGGGATGGAGGTGGCGGAGGAATTGCGCTTGGAAGAGGGGATCCTGCAGTTCGGTGAGCGACCGTTGATGTCTCCGACCCTCGGCCCTGGGCTAGACAGACCTAACGTTCTCTGGTCAATTCTCTTCCCTCGGCGCTTTTCCTCCCGAGCCCGGGGTCCTGCTCCGGTGCCGTTAAGAGTCTTTGGGGGCTTTTTAAGAGGTCTCGAACACCTTAAGAGGCCTTACAGATTCCTCAGACTCCTGAGGCCTAGCTGGACCTGCGGTTTCCTCGCGCACCTCTCCCCACAGGACAATCTCTGGGACCGCTCGCTCACTGTCTTCCTATCTCCCTGCAGCCCGCGAGCCGCGTCTGGGCCTGGACTCGGGATGGAGACCTGGAGAAGGCTGTACTCAGAGCCTCAGAGACTTCCCGCCCGGGCCGACCCAAGCCGTCCTCCCTCTAAAGAGCCTCCCCCGGGGCTTGGCCCTTGGCCCCTCTCTTGCCGAGGAACAGCGCTTGGGGATCTGGTGTATCGGGGAGCCCCTGCAGCCGGGACTGCTCTGGAGGCCGCTGGAAGAGAAGGCTGTCTCTGAGCAGAAGGGCAAAGGAGCGAAACCATGGCAGGAGAAGGTTTGAGGGGATAGGGAGTCCCCTCTCCGTGATTGAAAGGCAGAACCAGAGACCATTAAATTTTCAGGGGCTTCATCCTAGATCTGTCACAGGAGAGGTTGTATCGAGGTTTTTTTTTTTCCACCTTGGTCCCCTCAAACACATGGACTTTCTTTCTTTTTTTTTTTTTTTCAGGACATGTCACCAGGCCCATGGGGAGATGTGTGTGCTTGTGAGCAGAGTTCAGGCTGGACAAGGTAGGTTACAGGAGAGTACTTAGTGAAGATGCTCCTTTAAGGCTTTCTGTTCTGACATGGGATGGAACCAGAAGCTGACTAATTCCCCACCCACTGATCTTTTGTAGTGAGTGTTCCAGAGGCATGGGATCCTTTAGGACTCAGATTGCCCAGGAACTGGGATTTTCAGGCAGGGCCTCTTGAAGAGGTCTCCTGAGCTAGCTCTTGCTCTGCTTTCCAGTTTGGTGCAGCGGGGCAGAATGGAGGGTGAGGGAAACGTGGCCCCTGTGTGGAACAGTGAGAGACTCTACCTGCAGGTGTATCAAGTTGTACCGCCAGGCTTTGAGCTGCTACTGTGGCCCCGGCCTCCCTCTCAAAGCCTGAGCCCTACCCAGCCCAGGCTAGAAGAGGCAGCCACGGCTCTAGTGACAGAAGTAGAGTCCACTATACCACAGGAAGTGGCCTCCCCTGGGGAAGATGCAGCAGAACCTTGGACAGGTATGTGTCACATAAATGCTGGCTTCCCAAATTAACATCAAAACAACCTATTGATGAGACAAAGCAAAGCTAATGGCTCAGGAAGGTAAGAGAGAATACTACAGAGTCTTGGCAGCTTTTCTGAGGGGGATGGACAAAGCCTGGCTATTTAGTGAAATCTTGAAGTCTTGTATAAAGTGGATCTTTCAGTGTGGGATGGAAGTGGGGCTTCATTAGGATTGGGCAAGGATCATGACATAATAGTTTAGGATTTGTGGACACAGCAAGGCTAGACTTTTCAGGCAAGAGTGTTGTTCAGAGTCTTGGGGCATAAACTATCATTTTATGCTTTCTATTGAAGAGTGATTGGGTCTTTTCCTTAAAATGAACAATACAGATATTGGTAACTTTTATGTTTCTGTGTAAGTTTCCTGAAATAGTAGGGTAATGCTAATAAAGACAGCAAGCTATTGATAAGGCTTCCAATTTCTTATGTTTCTTCTGTCTGGGGTGGGGATGGGGTTCCTTTATTCTCAAATGAGCTGAGGTGAGGAAATGATCTCAACTCACCCTAAGTGTGTACCAGTTGAGGGAAATAGGGGACTCTGGGATAGCCTCCTTCTAGGGATTATCCTGATGTCTTGGACACTCTGGTTCTTAGGAGTGCTTCCTCAGGAGGCACCTGAGATTAGACAGAAAGATAATCAAAGTCTGTGGCTCATGCTCCAGGGAAAAGATGAGTGTCATTGCTCCCACTGAAGTTCAGGGACTGAGTCATTCCTGCAATTTCCTGATGACACCTGCATTACTACCTGCCCCAGTCTCTAACCCCAGCACCCATGCTTGCATTGCAGATCCTGGTCACCAGTCACCCTGCACCATGCAGGCAGAGCGTATGATGAGCTCTGGACCTAAGCCCCACACCCAGGACCAACTTTCTAGAGAGAGCCAACCACTTGACCCATTGCCTCAGGTTGGCAGTTTGGACAAAGAAGACCTACCCCAGACACATATGCCACCTGAACCTCAAAGCAGCTCCACTACCCAGCAGGAGCTGGAGAGCAGTGAGGCCAGTTCCTTATCTTCTGCCAGCACTCCCCAGCTGCGTGCTTACCTGGTCAAGAAGTCATGTAGCCCCCGTGATCAATGCCTATCCAGAGCAAGAACCTCAGCACCCGTGGCCCACCAGACTGGTGAGCAGCTGCACCCTGGCCTCCCTGCATGCTTGCAGAGCTCTCCTGGCCCAGCAAAAAGAGCCCCAAAACAGGGGCAATGGTACCCGTGTGGGGAGTGTAGCAAGGCCTTCTTGCAGCTATGCCACTTGAAGAAGCACGCATTTGTAAACACAGGCCACAAGCCCTTCCTTTGCACTGAGTGTGGCAAGAGCTATAACTCAGGAAAGCTTCAAAGCCCACATGCTGGGACACTGTGGAGTGCAGCCCTTCCCCTGCCTGCAGTGCGACAAGGACTACAGCACCCGGCGAGACCTTAGAGAGCAACAGGTGGTACATTCAGGTGCTCGGCCCTTTACCTGTGACCAATGTGGCAAGGCCTTTGCTTGTCGGCCCTCTCTGCGGCTGCACCGCAAGCTGCCCCTGCCCCTTCCCCATGCCCGTGCCCCGTGTGTGGGCAGCTCCTGGCGAACCAGGGCTCTCTGTGGAATCACATGCTGCTGCACATGGGGGAGAAGCCCTTCCTGTGCCCACACTGTGGCTGGGTGTTCCACCAGCAGGGCAGCCTGCATGGGCACTTGAGGCTGCATATGGGGGAGCGCCCTTACCACTGCCCACACTGTGCTGACGCCTTTCCCCAGCTGCCTGAACTGCAGCGCCACCTCATCTCCCACACTGGGAAGGCCCACTTGTGCCCTGTGTGGGAAGGCCCTTCGAGACCCACACACGCTGCGTGCTCATGAGCGCCTGCACTCATGCGAGAGGCCCTTCCTGTGCCCACAGTGTGGCCATGCCTACACACTGGCTACCAAGCTCCGGCGCCACCTCAAATCCGACCAGACTGACAAGCCCTACCACTGCCCCACCTGTGGCATGGGCTACAGCCTCGCCCAGAGCCTGAAGCAACACCAGCTCAGTCACCAGCCTGGGGCACCCTCCAGCTCACCCTGTGCTGAGCCCACTGTGGTGCTACTGCAGAAAGTGTCAGAACTGCAGGCACTGGCTCCCTGGCCCGGGACGCCTTCCAGGTCACCATTTCCGAGCACTAAGACAATTGCTTTGTGCTGCCTGAGGAGCCGGGCCCTGCCCCCCACCTGGTGCTCCTCCGTAAGGACACAGGCTTTAGTACCTGGGCAGAGGTGGTGGAGGTGGAGATGGGCACCTGACAGCCTTGCCTTTCCCGGAAGAGTTCTATGTGAAGACAAGTGTTCTCTAGCTGCCGAGTGTATGCATCTTTCTCGTGTAGCACCCGATAGAGATTAGTCTACTGTGAGAAGCAGGTCATGGTCTCCCTCCTGCTTGTGGACTGTCAGATTGTTTCCCATGACTGTCAGGTAAACGTAGGCCTCAGATCTTACTGAACTTCAAGTAGAGCTTGTTCTGTCTCCATCCCCAGGACTCAGATGCTGCTTGATCAGACCAGGGGCAGGAAATCCAGACAGCAGTGTGAGATAGCCAGCAACACTGCCCTGCTGGGCTCCTGGTGCTGCGGTGTTCCTGTCTGCAACTCTCAGGGACAGGGATTTTTGAACCAAACGACGTGAAGTTTGAGGGTTAAGAGGCCCTCAGCTCCCAGCTCACATGTGTCTTTCCCCAGGCTGTGGGTCATTGTAGCTGTAGGTTAAAATGAGAAGGGTGGTCAGGGAAGGCCTCTCATAACGTGACACAAGCAGAGACCTGCACTTCAGGGAGGAGTGAGCCCAGCCAATTTCTGCAGAAGGGTTCCAGGAAGAGCAAATGGTACTTGCAAAGCCCAGTGAGTTCCAGCAAGAGCAAAGAGCAGAGCAGCCACAGAGGGCCTGGTGGGGGTTGAGGGTAGGTGCATTGGCGCCGAGGGAAGGAGTTTGGGTGGATGTGTACTCTGGGAGGAGAAAATGATAATCCAAAGACCGAGTGAGTCACAGAGAGAAAGCTGATACCTAGTTTCTGACTTAGCAAAATTAGGATTTGGGCTGGGAATGGGTTGAGTTTGGAGTGCCTGTGGGAGAGATCTCAAGCAGTCAGAAGGCACAGCTTGGGGAGAAAAGCCTTGCTTAGAGGGAGAATCAGGGAGACTCAGGGTCTCTGAACCTGGGGGAGGCCAGGACCAAGACCCAGGAGCCCAGCCCTCCAGGCTCAGTGAGAGGGACAGCGTGGAAGGCTCCTTAGGAGATACTAAATAACCATCCAACAAAATAGGAAAACTTGCAGAGTATGTCACAGAAACTGGTGGAGGAACGTTTCAACAAGGAAGCTGAGGGCAGCAGTGGCTATTGCTGTTGAGAGGATTGACATTTGGAGAAGTCACTGGGAGCTGAGTGAGAGCAGTTAGAAGCCAGATTGGATTGCTTTGAGGAGTGGGAGAGGCCAGAGACAGGAGGAACATACATCCTTGTTCCATCCCTCTCTGTGCTACAAATAGGTGTTGTGACCTGTTTTACAGATGAAAATAAGATTCAGAGCAAGTAATTGGCCAAGACCACACAATCAGTAAGCTACAGAAGGATGATTGAACTGTGGAGTGTTCTCTAGCTTCCCAGCACTTGATCACGATGTGAAAAGCAGTCACAGGTCTCCTTCTTTGCCCCTGAAATTAACCCAGCCACCCACCCAACCTGAATAACTTCTTGGCAAAGTGTCATTCTGAGACTGTCCAAGGGGAGGGAGGACAGCAGGATCATGGTGATCTGTGGAGAGAGGCCAACCATCCAAAGCCTGAAAAGAAGCTGCCAATAGTGTTGAGTCAGCCAACGCTGTTTCTTGAAGCCTGCATGAAGCTCGGTAGGTTCTACGGTTTTCTAGCTCCTGTTTCAATCAGGGTCATTTCAACTCAAGTCAGTTTATCCAGCATTGTATCCTGGGGTCATACTCATCGTTTGATACCAAACTGTGCAAGGAAGTGGGGATGCTTTGGGAGTGGGGAGGCCTGTCAACACCCCACAACCCTCAAGCCAGAACCTGGGGTGCTCACACCCGCTTGCCGCATCCCTACACAATGGAGCTTTTCTCTCCGTTAAGACTCCCTAGTCATGCAGAACTGGGTTAGATCAAAGTCAACAAGTTCAAAAACACCTGATTTGGAGCCTGTTCTGCCAGTACTTGTGGCTACTGTGAGAATGGGAATTGGAGAATATTGTCCAAACTCCTTACATTACAGATGAGAAAATGGAGGCCTGGAGAGGTCATTTGCCAACGTGTGAAACCAGTGAGCAGCAGAAGCAGTGCAGGCCTAATTTAATTCTCTTTCAGTTAGAATAAAATGCAGTGACTGTTAGACTGATTGCTGGAATGTTTTTTTAATTGAGAAAATATTTTCCCCGATTGCACAATAATTCTTGTTCATCAAAATGTTGAAAGTCCCTTTATTCCCTACTTCTTTCCTATATCCCCTGACAGTCACTTTTATTTAAGTTTTGGTATCATTAATCTACAATTACATGATGAACATTATGTTTACTAGACTCCCCCCATCACAAGTCCCCCCCACAAACCCCATTACAGTCACTGTCCATCAATGTAGTAAGATGCTGTAGAATCACTACTTGTCTTCTCTGTGTTGCACAGCCCTCCTCGTGGCCCACCCCACATTATACATGCTAATCGTAATGCCCCCTTTCTTTTTTCCCCCCCATTATCCCTCCCTTCCCACCCATCCTCCCCAGTCCTTTTCCCTTTGGTAACTTAGTCCTTTCTTGGGTTCTGTGATTCTGCTGCTGTTTTGTTCCTTCAGTTTTTCCTTTGGTCTTATACTCCACAGATGAGTGAGATCATTTGGTACGTCTTTCTCTGCCTGGCTTATTTCAGTGAGCATAATACCCTCTAGCTCCATCCATGTTGTTGCAAATGGTAGGATTTGTTTTCTTTTTATGGCTGAATAATATTCCATTGTGTATATGTACCACCTCTTCTTTATCCATTCATCTACTGATGGACATTTAGGTTGCTTCCATTTCTTGGCTGTTGTAAATAGTGCTGCGATAAACATAGGGGTGCATCTGTCTTTTTCAAACTGGGCTGCTGCATTCTTAGGGCAAATTCCTAGAAGTGAAATTCCTGGGTCAAATGGTATTTCTATTTGAACTTTTTGAGGAACCTCCATACTGCTTTCCACAATGGTTGAACTAATTTACATTCCCACCAGCAGTGTGGGAGGGTTCCCCTTTCTCCACAACCTCGCCAACATTTGTTGTTTGTCTTTTGGATGGTGGCGATTCTTACTGGTATGAGGTGATATATCATTGTGGTTTTAATTTGCATTTCTCTGATGACTAGCGATGTGAAGCATCTTTTCATGTGTCTGTTGACCATCTGAATTTCTTCTTTGGAGAAGTGTCTGTTAAGCTCCTCTGCCCATTTTTTAATTGGATTATTTGCTTTTTGTTTGTTGAGGTTTGTGAGCTCTTTATATATTTTGGATGTCAACCCTTTATCATATCCCCTGACAGTCACTTTTAACAATTGGATATATATAGTACTGAATTTGAATGTAGCTTCTTGCTATAGGGCAAAGTTGCTATGAAAATGTTAATGCCTTTTCACAGATGCAAGTTTAGTTACACAATGTCTGGCTGCTTATCCAAACATCAGAGAGTGCAGGAGATAAAGGATCTTTTTATCGTGGCTTGCAACCTTGATAGTTTAAAAAAATATTACAATAGAATGAAATTATTTGGGTCATATTTAGGAAACTTTAAACAATACAAAACATCATAGACTGTGAAGAGCTCCATTGCTAGACATGTTCAGGTGTGGATCATAGCTCTGCACACTTGACTAGCTGCATAAACTCAGATAAGTTATTTAGTTTTTCTGTGCCTCAGTTTCCTCATTATAAAATAGGGTTGTAGTACCTGCCTCATCAGTACTATATGCATGGCATATGTTGAGCAGTAATGCAGCTGAAAGGTGAAGATGAAGGTACATGTTTCCCATAGGTACTGTTCATTTGGGGCAGGTTCATGCCACTCACACAGTAGTTTTGCTCTTTGGGTGCATGGTCCTCTGGGTGTACTTTATCATACACTGAGGCTGTACTCTACCAGAATGTGAGGGTGAGGGTCATACAAGGAGAAGAGTGAGGGCATGCGAGGCGGGGCTCTGGCCCTCTCCCTAGCCCTAGCTTTATCGCTGACTCTATACAACTTTGCTCAGTTAGCTTCCCAACGCAGAGGCTGCATTTCCACATAGTGACATGGGGAAATTAGACCAGATCAGTGATTCCCAAACTTGGCTCCACTATGGAGCTCCTCTGCTAATTTTTTTCCTTCAATGGAATCCCATATTTTTAAAGGTTTTTATTAAGTAGAAACTGATGTATTCACATTTTAAAATCAAAATAGAGAACTGCTTATCAGATCAAGGAAGACAAAAGGTAAGTAACCACCCAAAAAAGACATAATTTCAGCCAAAAGGAAATAATTATTTTTGTCTTAAAGTAAATTTGTAAGTTTTTGAGGGTTTAAAAATATTTGAGGTTTTTTGTTGTTGGTAAGGACGAGACCAATCTAGTACATGAACAAAGCCCTAGGCTTCAGAATATCTATATTTAATATCTGATCTTTCCAGTTCTGAAATTCTGTTTATCAAAATGTAATATTACTGGTTTCAGTGATTAGAGAGCTTTGCTTTACAGTGTAACCTGGGCTTTATCCATGATTCTCTTTGATACCACCTTGTTGGATAGAAATGCACCCCTCATTAAGGCCTTTGCTTTAAGTGTGGAGGTATGTCTCTGTGGGCCCGGAAATGCCATGGAACCTGCTGGGCCCCGAGAGTTCCAAGAACAGTCATGGAGTCCTGGGGCCTTGGAGTGGACCCTGAAGCCTGAGGGTGTGCTGGGTCCGCTGGGGCCCTGCACCCATGGCGGTGCCACTCGGGTCTGGCAGGACTCTTGGATCCTTCCTGAGCCACTTTGACAGAAGGGATGCTCTCCCTTTATCCTCTCCATATTAAAAATGGTAGGTGTGATCTTACATTCACCCAAGAAAACACGGAAGCCATCCAGCTTAGAGCCCACTTACTAATACTAGCCTCCGTTAAAAAGGAATAAATTTTCACTTTTCATTGTGAAAATTTTGAAGCAAAATTTAAAAGAACAATGGAACACTCCCCTTACCACCTAGATTTAATAACTAATAACATTTTGCTGTACTTGTTTCATCTTTGTTGTCAGTTCTGTATACTGTGACTCAAAAGTTTAAAAAATACAAGTGTATGTCATATAACACCAAATTAATAATAATACTTTCATATCATTGAACACCTTATCTACCTTTAAATTTTCTTGTTTATAAAAAAAGTCTTAGAGGTGATTTGTTCAAAAGTCTAAACTGATCATGGTAATCCTGTTCCTTTTGTGCATTACTTGTTAGGTCTCTCTTAGGTTTCTTTTATTCTAGACAGTCTCTCCCTTGCCACTTTTATTGCCATGTCATAAATTTGCCAGAGAAACTGGGGTCATTTGTCTTACTAGATGTCCTTCCTTCCTTATGGTATTGTTTAACTTATTTATCATCAATTACAGTATTTCCTGTAAACTGGTAATTAAAGATAGAAGTTTGTTTCAGTCCAGATTCACTATTTTAGAAAGAACCCTTCACAGGTAACGTTAAGTATTGTTGCATCATGTCATATAACAAGGGTATTATATTGAGTACTTACTATGTGGCAGCATCATGATCCTTTACAAACATTATGATATGCTTTGCAGGGGTAGTTCAGTTTCTACTTCATAACTAGAAACTTAACTCTGAATGCAGCCAGACCTGGCGGGAGAGACAAGGGATCTGTGGACTCCAAAGAACTGCGACAAGTGAGAGCACAAAGGTGACAGGGTGTGAGAGCTGGGGAGTTCTCTACAGGGACATAATGGTGGGGACAAGACGAAACAAAACCAAATGTATCAGAATGGCCTAGAGTCTCTTGCTGGTCTTGCCATTCCTGGACCCACAGTGGCTCATGACTTCCACAGTATTCATGCCATTTCTTCTTGCCAAAGAGCCCATGCTTGCCACCTAACCCATCAGTCATAACCATGCAGAAGACAAGCTGGGAGCCATTTGGATTGGGTCCAGCATTTGTCCTGGGTCAGATGTCAGGACTCACATTCTTCAAAGTGAGATGCTCATCAAAGTTCCTCTAAATGGGCTTACCACTGGTACTGTGATGGTGTGTCAATTCATCACCCTGTCACATAAACCTAGGAATCAATCTGGAAAGCAGGAACCCTTATAACAAAATCTCATCTTCCCAGTGCTGAGAGAACCAGGCTTTTCTGCTTTGGAAGACTGTCTGCAAACAGCTTCTGGGAGACATGGCCCAAGACCTGCCTGTTAATGGCCATTTCTGTGCATGAGCACACCAGGGACTCAGCAAGGCTGCAACTCCAAATCAGTGTGTCTGCGGAGAGGCCAGTGTGAACTTCTTGGAGCTTTTTAGCAACATCCTTGTGAGGTGAATGTTGTAATCTGAGTGCAGATGGGGAGACTGGGGACTGGCCTCCAAACCAGTGCTCTCTTCCTGCTGTGCTTGTCTGGGCCTCAGGCGTTCTGAAAGCACAGGAACAAGTGAGCACCCGGTAGGCCCCTAGCTCCCCAGAACCCTCAGGAGAAGAGGCGCCATGTGCCAGCTGCTTTGGCCTCCCTGCCAGCTGCCCCTCCTCTTGCCTCTTATCCCTCTCTCCAGATTGACTCAGCACTGGCCCAGCTTGGTCAGCTCCTCAGGGAAAGGAGGATCATCTGCCTTGAAGCAGGTAGGGTGAAGCCACACCATTCTTCTCTCCACTTGTTAGGAGCCCTGCCCTCTTTGTACTCAGTATGTAATTTTTTAAGAAATTAGTGAGGTGAGATCTTTTCACCATTGCACTAAAAAAAAAGTAGGTTCATTGTCAATCAGAAAACAGTAACTATAAATTAAAACCAGAATAAGACACTTACATATCCATCAGAGCAGTTAATGTGAGTGATGGACAACCTAGAGATTGGTGAGGATATGAGCAACTGGAACTCACACATTATAGTGGGAGTGGAAGCTAGTTCAACCAACCACTGAAGACAACTATTTATCCGAGTGACTTAACCAGCAAATCCATGCCCGGGCATACACCCGACAGAAACCACTGCTTATCTACACCAGAGAATTTACACATGGATCACGGCAGCTCTAGTCATTATACCAAAACTGGAAACTAATCCAGATGCCCCTCATCATATGAGTGAATGAATAAAACAGGCTGTATTCATACAATGGGGTACTACACAGCTTTAAAAGGAACTGGTACACACAACATGAGTGAATCTCAGAAACATGCTGAGTGAGAGGTCAGACTCAACTAGGTATAAGCTGTAGGTTTCCATTACATGAAGTTCAGAAACAGGGAGAACTGATCTACAGTGATGGTATTCAGTGGTTCGTCTAAGGGATGATGTGAAAGAGTCTGTTGGGGATGAGGATATACTCTCTCAGTCTGGTGGCAGTTACATGGGTGTATGTATAAAAATTTTAGCTAAACAGGATTTGTTCTAACATTACTGTAAATAAGTTAGACATCAATTAAAAGTGTATAGAAAAATAGGTATATTATATATTTATATGTATGTATGTATGTATGTTTACATATACAAATATGTGAACTGGGCCACCCAGGAATTAAGCAGATTTGTGGGAGTCCTGGTCCCCAGTTCTCTCCTAACCATCTCTCTCGCCTGCTCTGCACTGGGCCCCTCCCCATGAAGTTCCCAGACTGTATATGACTTCGTTTAGACCCCAAACTGCCAGGCCTGAAGGACAGCAAGGTAAGAACCTGTGCTCTCAGTGTACCTGCTCTTTGTCCCTCTGTCCTAATTAGGCCCAGGACTAATATTTACCTAGTATGATGCAAACAGGAAATGCAGGAGGGATGAGAGCAGGGGGTGGGGGATGGGCAGTGTAGGACCAGCAGCCACTCCAGGCCTGGCCCAGAGCAGATGGGCAGGGAGAGGGAGAGGCCTTGCCGTGGAGACCTGAGGATTTGGGCTGGTCCTTGTTCTGGGTCAGGCAGCTGATCCTGGGAGATGAAAGTAGACCAGAGGCCCAAGAGGCCCTGGAGCTGGCTCCTGCTCCCAGGCAACCACTACATATAAACATACCTCCACAATTTCCAGACAGAAAAGGGGAAATAAGAGCCCTACATCAGTGCCTGAGAGGCTGGGGAGATGGTGCCAGCCTGCCCCCACTGTGTCCTGGGGCCGGTGGGCAGCTCTCACCTGGTCTCTGTTTTCTTGTATCTCTGTGTTGTGATTACACAAACCTCCCCATTGGTTTACACCAGTATATTTACTTATTATTAAGCGCGTACTATACTTCATGGACTTTACATTCATGATCTCCTTTAGTCCTCTCAGCAAAGTACTATTCCCGTTGTACAGATAAGGAATGGAGGCACACAGAGATTAAAGTAGCTGTCACCATGTGTTAGGGTTGGAAGGAGCCTCAGAAAGATCATGTGGGCCTCCTGGCCCAAGCTGGCCTGTGTGTCAGGGCAGGAGGGGCTGGGTGAGGGCAGTTCACTGCTGTTCCCTTTGTGACTTCCTCCCAGACCATTCATTGTCCTCTAGGTGGACCTGTCCTTCCGGGTGGCAGGGGTGGACTATCTATCCACTTGTCTTCATGGCCCTGACCTGCTGACCTCTCCCTCTCCATTGATTTCTTCATGTTAGTTCAACATTAACCCAGAGGGGTCAGGATGAGCCCTCAGAGTCCTGGAGCTGACACACAATGGCGCACGTCCGAGGCCTGTGTGTACCTGGCTGCCTGGCCCTGGCCACCTTATTTAGCCTTGTGCACAGCCAGCATGGTAAGGGGAACACGGGATCTGGGGCAGGCTGGCCGACTGGGATGTAGGTCCATGGGCTGGAGTCTTGACAGATGACAGTACTGGCCCCCAGACAGGTTCCAGCCCTTGGTGCCAGCTTAGGGAATGAGCCGGCGCTCAGGGTTGAACAGACAATGTGGCTGCTCCTCTTTTGCAGTATGGGGAGTGGGCTGGGGCAAACAATGAAAGGAGGGTTACTAGCAGGTTACTGTTAGCAGTCTGGAGCTCTGTGCCATGCCAGACATCTTTTGGAAGCCAGCAGCCTGATGGCCAAGACAGTCTGGCTCTCTGAGGCCACATTCCCACATCCCTCCTACCACAGTGTTCCTGGACCCTCAGCAAGCACTATTGCTGCTCCAGCGGGTCCGACGTGCCAACAGTGGCTTCCTGGAGGAGGTGCGCAAGGGCAACCTGGAGCGAGAGTGCGTGGAGGAGCAGTGCAGCTACGAGGAGGCCTTCGAGGCCCTGGAGTCCCCCAGTGCCACGGTGAGGCCTGAGGCTCAGGGTGCCTCTGAGCAGGCCCAGCTGTAGGGCCACAGATGAGGGGAGTGAGGGACACCACAGCTCTAACCGTTGATAACTGAATTTCATCTCTGTCCCATTTCACTGGGCTGCCAACGTGAGCGATCTCAGCCTTTCTCTGAGGTCCCAACGCCTGGGCTGTGTCAAGGTCCTAGGGTTTGGTGAGGCTCCAGGACCCTAGAGGCCTCCTTAGTCCTCAGACATCTGTCTACAATGGGATCTCTGGAGCCCCTGCCCCATGTGGCCTCTCAGCTTCAGCTTTCCTGTTAGGTCTGTGTCACCCTTGGGTGTGGGACTCTGGAGAGGCCAAGAGCTTGGGGCCTTGGCCTGGTGTTCCAGAGCCAGAGCGGCCTTTCTGTTCCTTGAGCCTCTGCCTAGGCCCCATGCCCTCCTTTTCCTGTCCACCCCACCCAAGGGAATCTCAGTCTTGGTTGGAGTGGGGAACCTCCCATCTCCTCAAATACTCTTGTTCCCAGTGGGCTTGGGCTTTGGGAAACAAAAGTAGGAAATTGCCGTGAACCTCCCCAGAGCCTGACTCCTGCGGGCCCAGGGTAAGGGACAGAGGAAAGTGTACGCGGGAGACATGAAGTTTACTAAAAAACAAAACCAACAGGCCTTTGCCACAGCCTCATGCCAGCCCTTGTTTTTCAGGATGCATTCTGGGCCAAGTACACAGGTGAGCACTGGGGGGCTTGCTCCGGGGAGGGAGTCCTGGGGCACAAGTTAGAGACTGTTCTACCCCAGAGGATCTTCTGGTCCATCCAGTCACCATCCCTCCATCCATGTCTTTCCTTCCTTCTATCCATCTGTCTGTTCATCTCTCTGTTTCTGAATGTCTGTTTATCCATCCACCCTTTATTTGAGCCCATCCTTTCCCTACCCCAACCCCAAAGGTGTTTTTGGATCTTTTCCAGCTTGCGAGTCGGTGAGGAAACCTCGAGAAAAGCTCACTGAGTGTCTGGAAGGTGAGGAACTGCTGTGGGGTGGGGACAGGACACAAGGGGAATAACCTGGGAGGACAGTAGGGTGGGTTAGGAGTTGTGCCCAGCGGTGGCAACCTCTAGTATGTGACATTGTTTTGCTCCTGTGCTCAGGGATGTATCTTTGTGCCTGTGTGGTCTGTACTCTGTACATCCCAGTCAGTAAGCTGATTAATGTTGGAAGAACAAATGAATGAATGGATAATGCATTAATGTTTATGGCCTCATTCTCATCTGAGCCCCTGCCCACACTGGTCAGCCTTCCCAGATCTTCAGGGTACAGATGATGTCACATTCCTTCTCCAGAACCTTGAGTGGCTCCCCATTGCTCCCAGAATAAAGCACAGGTATCTTAGCCTGGTGAACTTTGCAGGTTCTGGCCTTAACCTTCCCTTCTAGCCTTAGCTCCCATTGCACCATCAACCTGGACCCCCAGCTACCCTGACAGTAAGCACTTCTCTAAACATGCCAAGATGTTTCTACTTCCTGGCCTTTGCTTGCATTGTCTTCCTCCCCTGGAGCCACCATCACTGCCCACTGAAAATTTCCCTACCCTTCAAGGACCAGATAAATGCTACCACTTTGCTGGGCCTGCGGGAGCCTCCTCTCTCCTCCACAGCATTCTGACTACACAGGTAGCATGACACATGGCTTCCTATGTGGGACTCTTTCATCACTGCCCATACTTTCATTTGTTAAATGACTTATTCAACAGACATTTCCCTGCTAGGTGCCAGGCACTATGTCAAGTGCTGGGGATTTTAAGGGGACCAAGGAATTAACAGTCTCATAGGAAATCTTACAGGAAAACAAAAATCCAACACACCAAAGTGATTGCTGGAAAGTTCTATTGCAGGTGCCACTGGAATGCTAGGAAAGGAGCCGGTAGTTTGCTGGCAGAATCAGGGACAGCTCCAAGAGAAATAGGGTTTTACCTGGATTTGCAGGATGTATTTACAAATAAACGAGAGCATTCCAAGGCAGAGAAAACAGTGTGTGCAGAGGCCTGAGGCATGGGGAACTAAGATAACAGAACTGTAGAGCAGGGCCAGATTCTTCAACCTACTTGCCATGAGAAGCCACTGAATGGAGCTCCACGGGGGCAGGGGCCCACCTTGACTATGCCTGTCTTACTCATTGCTATGTCCTCAGTACCCGGCATGGTGCCTATCAATGGCTGTCACATGGGCACTCAGGGCATATTTGGTGATTGCTGTTCAACAGATTGGAGAACTGGTTGCAGAGGAGGTGCTAAGTAAAGGCAGGCTAAGGGCCATGCACCAGAAGGGGCTTACAGGGGATGGACAGAGCTTTGATAGGGCAGGGGGAGCAAAATCCTCAGGGTAAGAGGCCTGGACTGGAATCTCTGCAGGTAACTGTGCTGAAGGTCTGGGTACAAACTACCGAGGCAATGTGAGTTTCACCCGATCAGGCATCGAGTGCCAGCTATGGAGGAGTCGCTACCCACATAAACCTGAGTGAGTGTTGGGCAGGTCTCTTTGCCAGCCTGCTGAGCACAGGGGGCCTGGAGATATGGGCAGGGTTGAGGGGTGGGCATGGTCTTATGCTGAGCAATTTCCTATTCTAGAATAAACTCCACCACCCACCCTGGGGCCGACCTGCAGGAGAATTTCTGCCGCAACCCAGATGGCAGTACCACTGGGCCCTGGTGCTACACTACAAACCCCACTGTGCGGAGGGAAGAGTGCAGCATCTCCGTCTGTGGTAAGTTAGGGGCAACTGACAATCCATGGCCAAGGTCCAGGGGTCTTCTTCGAGTCTGGCAGCCTGGGATGGCAACCAAGATCCTGGCTACCTTCAAGCCCTATAATCCAGGCTGTCTCCCTGCAAATAGGCTTTCCTTCCTGCTCAAGGCACCCTTCCCCCAATGAAGCCCTCCCTAGCCACTTCAGCCCAGGCACCCTTTTCTGGTCACCTCACAGCTAGCCTTACAGAGTCCAGCACTGCATGATTCTGCCACTACTCTTTCTCGTGATGTGGCAGCAGCCACAGTAGTGCTGCAAACCCCACAAAATCATGGCCAACTGCAAGAGCTCAGGGACATAACGCCAATAAGCAGTTATTTCTTATGTTCAGCTGTGCTCACTCGTGTGTCTGTGGGGTTCACTGACATAGGCTAGGTGCAGCTGGGCTCCTTGTGAGGGTTGGGTCACAGTCTGCTCTGCATTGCTTATGCTAGGGCTGAGGCAGAATGCCACGATCTTCCCATGGTAAGGGCAGAAGTAAGAAATGGCGAGCAGAAACACACAACATGTTGTAAGACCAGGCTCAGAACTGGTAGTTAGCTCTGCCCATGTTCCATTGTCCAGAGTGAGCCACATGGTCAAAGCCAAAATCAAGAGATGGAGAAGTACACCTTTGCCTATAAAATCACAGGGCAAAGGATATGGATCCAGGCAAGGGTAAGGAATTAGTGCAGTAATCAGACTACCAAACATGACTGTGTTCTTTGTCCTTGGTGCATCCCTGTGGGACTCTGTCTCAGCCTGAGACTGGTCTTATGTAGCAGGTCACCAGCCATGGTAACAACAAAAGCATCTCCTATATGGCATCAACCCTGCCCCCTGCACGCGCGCACACACACACACACACACACACACACACACACACACACACACACACACATTTGTGGCAGGCATGCTGAAACGGACCTACTGCCTGGGTAGACAAGACTGCAGACAGTCACTTCCAGTAGATCATAGAGAGCCAAGGAGGTGAAACCTAGTTACTTCTCTGGCTTGTGATCACCTATATTTTGTTTAAATCTCTCACCAACCCTGCAAGAACGGCATTAATAATCCCTTTATAGGCAAGCGGACTGAAGCTCAGAGAGTTTAAGTTGCTGGAGGTCATATAGGAAGGAGGAGTGAGGCAGGGATTAAAATCCTATCTGTCTGGCTCCACATGTGGTCCCACATACTTTGTTCCCTGCTCCTCACCCACCAGGCCAGGGGGGCGTCACTGTGGAGCTGACTCCACGCGTGGGAGGCTCCCTAGTGAATCTGTCATCTCCGTCGAAGCAGTGCATCCCTGAGCGAGGCCAGCAGTACCAGGGCCGCCTGGCAGTGACTGCACTCGGGTCCCCCTGCTTGGCCTGGGCCAGCAGGCAGGTCAAGGCCCTGAGCAAGGACAAGGACTTCAGCCCCACAGTACCTCTGGAGGAGAACTACTGCCGCAACCCAGACGGGGACGAGGAGGGCGCATGGTGCTATGTGTCCGGGGACCCTCTTGTCATGGAGTACTGTGACCTTGACTATTGCGGTGAGAGTGCCAGGCCGGGAACTGAGACAGAGGACAAAGCCTGGAGGGACTACAAATCCTTCCCATATCTATGGCTTGCCATGCACAGATTTAAGTGCCCTCATTACAGCCTTACATTCACCAGGTGGGGGTAGACCTAGCTCCATTTTACAGCTGAGTAAACTGAGGCCCGAGAAGTTAAGTTGCTTAAACCCAGGTGCACTTGTGCTCTTAACGTCGACACCAAATGGCCTCCAAGGCCTGTTGGAGGTTTACACAGGTCTAG